GGCGCTGACGCTGTGTCTCCCCGCAGGTGATGATGCTGGGCAGCCCGCGCGTGGCCGAGCTGCTGCTGCAGCGCGGAGCCGACCCCAACCGGCCCGACCCGAGCACCGGCTGCCTCCCGGCGCACGACGCGGCCCGCGCCGGCTTTCTGGAGACGCTGGCGGCGCTGCACCGGGCCGGGGCGCGCCTCGACCTGCCCGACGGCCGCGGCCGCCTCCCCCTCGACGTGGCGGCGGGGGGCCCGCACGGAGCCGTGGGCCGCTACCTGCGCCACCCGCCGTCCCACGCCTGACCTCTCCCGAGGCAATCCTCTTCCCAAACTTATGGCTCGCGCCCGCCTCGGAAAACGCCAAGTCGAGCAGCACTCACGCCATACTGTGAATAACCCCGGATCGCTGGGATGCACGAAGGACAATATTATTTGCTCGTTCCTGTGTATTATCTTGCATTGGAAATCCTACGGCCCTCAACAGTCCCCTATTTTCACGTGAGAGGCCAAATATTATGAAGAGAAATATGAAGTATGAAGTATGAAATAAGAAAATATTAAATGTGAAAATATTAAATATTAAATAGGAAATAAGAAATATTTAATGTGAAAATAGCAAATAGGAAATATTAAATAGCAAATAGGAAATATTAAATAGGAAATATTTAATGTGAAAATATTAAATATGAAGGAAAACCCACACACAGAGGTGGTACTATAGAAACCCTTCATGTTTTGACTGCACTACGTCTGGGCTTTCTGTTTACCCTCGTCCCCGGGGCTCCACACTCATACTTGCCAGCCCTCCATCTGAAGAGGACGGGAGAGGCTCCGAGCTCTCCCTGTCCGATTTCGGTTTCACGGGGTGCTGCCTGTCTCTCTAGCAAAGCCGGCCGGAGAGCAGGGAACCGGCGCTTCCTGGTGCCATTGTGGCTTTGGCAAATACGTTCTTAGAACCACGTAGGATGCTGTGCGTGTCTGTACATGCATCTTTGGCGCATCCGTGGCTCTTCTCATGAAGGTTGCAAACATGGGTTCTGGAAGGAGAAAATGAAGTGAGCTTTGTGTCTCTGCAAGCCCGCTACAGTCCCCACTTGAAGTACTCGTTTTAACGACCTGCAAGCGACCTCCCCTGAGTTATAACACCTTAAAAAAAATCATGTTAATTGCAAAACCAAGGCGACCAGGAACGAAAAATTAGAAATCGTACATCCGAACTCAATTCCAGGGCTTACCAAGCTGCTTGAAGGTGTCACGTTTAGTAACGAAAAAAGCAAGCCGTTGCAACAGCTGTGCTGCTGGATTACGAAAGGGAGCAGACAAATCATCTGAGAGTCTCTCCGTTTCACTGACTGCCCCAGCACGGGGAAGTTGGGTGTGAGCACCCCACAGAAAATGCACGAGGCAGCCCATTCTCTACTGAGGGGAAGCCAAAGGCTGGGGAGACCCTCTGCCACTGTGGAGGGTTCTAAACCATCAGGGGTGCTGTGGGAGAGCATGGGCAGCAAAGAGCGGGGTGGTGAGGCAGGCGATGGGGACCGTGCTCCCAGCCTGTGCTGGATGAGTGGGAGACCTTGCCTCCCTCCCCGAACCCCATACCGGGCTGCACCCGCGCATCCTACGCCTTAGGGACCGAGAAAAGTAAACAAGGCAAGGCAGCGGGAGAGCTCAGACATCATTCTCCAGCGCAAATCCTGGGCACTTTGCAGATCTACCCGTAGAGAAGTAAAGGGGGGGAAAAATTACTTTCGTTTTGCATTCCTACTGATTGTCCACTCTCAGATATTTCATAAACAATAAAAAAGTATATACTTTTTTAAAAACGTGTTGGAATATGTTTTTATTGTAATGTGAATTCATACAATGCATGCTTCATAATTACATCAAATAAGTTTGTACACTATAAAATATTTAGTTATGCCATTTATGTACAAAATATATCTATACAATACCCATATAAAATATACATGATATGCACATATATTATGAATGTTATGATCATGTATCAACCTTATGTATTAGGTTATCAACTATTTTATATGTAATATGCTTATGTTTAATAACAAAAAATAATATACATATAAAATATGTACCAAAAATTACCTTATATTTGTAATATATAAAATAATTCTTATAATATATTATAAACACTTGTTTATTATAAGAATACCTAGAACATATATTTTATACATATCTTTATAAAGAAAGAATATAGCATTACAGTATGAAATTATAACACTTTACTAAATTTTCTGTATTCTATCTTCGAGCATGGCATAGTTGTAAGCAAACCAAGCACAACACTGGGGACGCAGCAGTTAGGTGCCTGCATCCCATACCTGTGGGAACCAGAGTGGAGCTGGGACCAGACACAGAGATAGGACAAGTCTGGAGCCTGACCACCCTCTTTATAAAACAATAAGATTCTATTAAACTGCACTCCCAACCTCAATTAGACCAGTATTTCTGTTTTAAATGGTCTTTTTCTCCAGGAACCAGACTTCATTTAAATTTTTTTGTATTCCCATTGCGGCTTATGAAAATACAGCAACAGCAGCAAAATTGTAATATTATATTATTGTTCTTACTAATATTGTTCATTAAGTTGGCAGGAGAATAACAAAATTTGTTAGGCTGACTTCACCAAACGAGCAGAGTATGCCTTCAAAAGCCAATAGGGTTAAATACCTAATTGCTATAAATCTATTTCATGCCGTAGGTCTGGAGGCCCTGCCCGGGAGAGGCCCACGGTGGGGGATACTCACTCCTTGAAAGGATGGGAGTCCCCGGTGTGATCACGCTCGACTGCGAGAGCTTCCACAGACACCTTTCCTTCTGGCAGCAGCGCCGGCCCCAGGGCTTTTCCTCTCAGAAAAGAATAGTAGCTGTTAACAGCAAGTAGTAGCAGCAATACACATGCTGAGAAAGCCCTCAAAGCACTACGTTTAAAGTAGCAGATTACTCGCGTTTTTTATTTTTAATACCGCCGCTGTAATAGAATACATGTGCACGCACACACCCCCATACCCCCCGTAGCACGGTTTGCACCCTGTGCACGACGAGGTGCTCCTCGGCCCCTGATCGGCCATGCATTCAGCGTTGGTGGGTATTTAGTTTCTATTACCGAAACTGTAGATTCATCCTCTCACCACCGCTCTGGCACCTGCATCACGCAGCCAGGCAGGCATTCATTTCTCTCAATTTTGCCTTGCCTGTCGGGGAGTAGTAGCCACAGCAGAGAGAAGTGCGGGACGGAGCGGGGGGGTGAGGGGAAAAGAAGAAGAAAGAAAAGAATAAAGTGTCTATCGAAGAGGTGCTTTCATTTCGAAATGGCTGATTTCACTCACCCATTTCCCAGGCTTGAAATCGAACTCGGTCCAGAAGAAACCATTACCGGCTCTTCTTTATTAGCAGTGTTGTTAGGGTTACTCCGTGCCGAGGCAGGAGAAGGAAACTTCTGTTGACATCAGTTATTACTGTTTGTCCAGCAGAAAGCAGGAGATGGGGAGGGAGATGCGTATTGCATACGCCTATGCTCACCATCCCTCCCAGGGACTGCAGCTCTGCCTCCCCTCCCGACGCCTTCCCCGCGGCTCCCCTCAGTCCAGGAGCCGTCCAGAGCCTCCTCTAGCCGTGTCGAGCAGAACTGGGCCCGGCCACCCCCGGGGAGGGCGAAGACGCGCCAACAGGAATGACGCTCTCCCTGCCCATCACAGCTCCCCAGGGCCTCGCACGGAGGTACCCCGCACCCGGGAGGGGGGATGCTCAAGCAGATGGACTCACAGGGCGGGGGGCGAGGCAGGTGCGTAGCGGTAACCCCCAGAGATCCTCTGCCGGGCGGCGGAGCTGGCTCGGCACCCGCTGTCGGAGGGCTTGGCAGCCCTCCGGTGGTTCCTGGGAGCTGGCCCGGGAAGGGAGCGCCGGCAGGTTAATCGGGGCTTCTGAGCGACCCCCCTGCTGCTCCCTCGCCCCGCTCCAGAACTTCGCCTTTCAAAAGGAAAAGAAAGCAGTCCGACCCCGCGGAGCACGGCCGGGAAGAAATTCTAGGGGCTAGCGGGTGAATCGTTCATTACCCGTTTCGTTGAGAGGTGGGGGGAAACCGAAAACGTCCTTTTTTTTTTTTTTTTTTTTCCCCTCGCTCCGCTACGCAACGGTCCCGCGTCGCGTTCAAATGGCCATGTGACAAGGAAATAGCTGCTCGCCCGGGCCAATACTGGCCTGCGCATTTAAAGCGGCAGGGATCCGCTAGCCGGCCCCCGGGGGCTCGCCCAGGCGCTCCGAGACGCCGCAGACCCCTTTCCCCGTCGGGCTTTTTCCGTGGCAAGCGGGATCCGAAAGCAACCAAAGAGCAAGGAAAAAAACCCAAACAAATACCACCCATCCCCAAACAGAGACGGAGGCCGTTTGTTTGGAGGGGCAGACCGGAGGGAGGGCAAGGACATGTCGTCAAGGCTTTATTTGAAAGCAGGGGAGCGCCCTGCGATTGGCCTGTCTCCACGCCTGTTTGGCGGCGGTGCTCCCCGGGGCCAGGCAGTGGGAGGGGAGACGAGCCGGCGGTCTCCCCCGTCCCCATCCCCCGCTGCCAGTCTTCCTTCGCCCGCTTTCGAGGCGGGAGCCATCATCATGGGAGGAGTTTAAGAGCGGGGTGTAGGGGAGGGGGGGTGGGAAGGGGAGGGAGGTAAAGCAAAATGGGGACTCGAAATTAGGCAAACGGAAGAGGGGGAAAAAAAAAAAAAAAGAAAAAAAAAGAAAAAAAAGAAAGGGGGGGGAAGAAAGAAAGAAAATCCTCTCCAATGAATGGAGGGTGAGAGGGCCGATTCACCGGTGAGGCCCCGCCGGGGAGGTATTTGTTACGTGAAGCGAGAGCGGATTCTCCGCATCCATGACTCCCCGGATAAGGTGCACCATCCACTTTCGGCGTGCCCGCAGCCTGCCCCGGGCCCGGGCTCTGGGCTGGTTCATCGTCCGCCGCATTTTCGGAGCGCTGGGACGGCGTCGGCCGCCGCGCCTCTCCCTGCTGCTAGTCCTGCGGCGGAGTCGCCGCGGGAGCCCCCGGTCCAGGTAGGACCCGGGAACGGGGTTTCTCTGGGGGCGGCGGGTGGTCCCCGGTGAGTGCGGGCGGCCCGACGGGGCGACAGGAGTAGGAGGCGACGGCCCGACCCAAGTGGCAGTGCCGAGGAGCCCCTCCGTACCATATGCTCAGATTCCTCCCTGATCACCTTAGATTTGTACAGGCTGGGGTCTTCTCTTCGTCTATTATTATTTTTTCCTTTTTCCTTTTTTTTTTTCTCCTTCCCCTAAACTCATTTGAAAATGATATCAGGTTCTTGAAAAGTTACTGTAACTTATTTCTGCCTTATTCCTCACTTCCTGAGAAGTTTTCACTATGGCTAATTAAGAAAACATAAACCCACCACCCCTTATCAACTTCTGTAGACAGTTCCTTGCAAACAAGGAACACAGCTACTGCTCTGAAGAGAGAAAATGGCCACTGTTTTCCGAGCATGCATTACTTTCCACTCCTGTAAACTGTAGTGAAATACAGTGGCCTACTTTGCCTTCCCTCACTGTTACAAAAATATGGGAAATAGGGGTCAGAGCGGGTGAGCAGTGTCAGAAAGAGTAACTAAAATACTCGCATATTGGGACCTTGAGAGACACCCGAGGCTCAGGCATTTTTAGAGGCTTTTTTCCTAATGCATAATTCAGAATTATCGGATTGTTGGGGACCTGCAGGGTGCACCTTCAGTGTTGATCGTTACACGTAATCAGACATACAATGAAAAGTGAATCAAGTGAATATGAATTTTGATGTGTATTTGAGGATTGTTCTGCACAGTCATCACAGAGGCTTGTTAGAGCAGTCCACAACCTCCTCTAATCCAGAGCACAGACTGGAGAAGAGCAGAGGTAGAAGAGAGGAGAAATAGAAAGATTTACTACAAAATATCTACAAAAATAGAGATAATTTATTTCATATATGTAAAAATAAATGTATTAAAAAATTAAACCTTTCAAAGTATGGGACTCAGGGTGTGGCAATAAAATTATTCAGCTTCCCACCTCCAGTCCCTGGTTAGATCTCTTACAGTGCTTTTTGAATAGCAAATGTGGGTACATGACACACAGACACACAGACAGGCACACACAAAATATATGTACACTGATTTATATATATATAAATCAGAAACTATATCCAGTTTTCCTTGGTGCCTTCAAAAGCTTCATTTTTTTGCATTTGTAGTAGGCCTCATTTCTTCATCTTACACTAAATGGGGGAAAAAGAAACTGTAAACTCTGACTGACATGAAATGTACAAATCTCAAATAGAAACATAAGTATGAAAGTGCTGATTATCTCGAAGTAAATTTGTTGTAACAAGGGCAGAACAGTCTCACGGATTCAGGAGTGTGACTCTTATTTTTTCTCTCTCTTTCCATGCTTGCTGTAAATACAGCTCCTTTATTTTCCCCTTCCCCCAAGCTTCTAATCAGGGAGATTGAGTTTTTCTAAAATGATATTTAGATCTAGACTACAAATCTTAGTTTGAAGGGCCTGCGGTAGGGTAAGACAAGTGTGTACCTTTAATTTAAAAAAAAAAATTGCCAGCAAAGCTACAAAAAGTATTTGTACAGCTTTTTAAGGCAGCACATAATGAAGCTGTGGCTGCCCCATCTCTGGAAGTGTCCGAGGCTCGACTGGATGGGTCGTTGAAAAATCTGATGTAGAGGAAGGTGTCTCTGCCGAATGGAGGGGGTTTGAGGGGGGCTGTGGGGCAAAGTGTGTGTGTGGGTTGAACTGGATTATCTCTAAGATCCCTTCTAAGCCTAATCATTCCATGACAATGACACTGACTCTGTGAAGCATCTATTCATTATTACTGGAGGTTGTTTGAGTTCAGGGGGTCTAGGGGGGGGTTGGTTTTGGCTTTGGTTTTTTGGGGGTTATTTCTCAATCATTTTTATGTTCGATGGAAACCCTCATAGCACGACTTCTGATGGACTAAAATTAAGGGGATAGATATTCCTGTTCTTAACTGGATAGTTATCTTCACAAATACACTGACATTTTAAACGGAAGTGTAAATCAATAGTGTGACACTATTTCTATAGAGTGGTATTGCTTCATTTTTAGCATAAGCTCAAATAACTGTTTCCCTTGCCTCTCTTAAGTGTAAAACAGGTTATTTCCATGCAACCTCTCCATTGTACCACCTACTCCTGCCTCTCCTGATCAGGTTTTGACTATTTGCAAGCTAGGAAATTGCAAGATTATGTTCTTTACAGTTTGACTCTTTGTAGTATTTAAGTAACCACTGAACTAACTACCAAAATGTTTGATAGATGATAAAATAACTCCTGCTGTTTCAATGTTTTCAATTATGTTTTTGTTGCTGTTCCAAGCCTTAAGCAGTGCATAAGATGGCTGCCTTTGCTAACTGAAAATTACCTTTTCCGTCCTGTATGCTATTAGCAAAACAGCTCAGAACAATTTGCAAGATTGTTGTACTATAGTATTAAAATGGATCTGTTGTCAGTGAAAAGATCTGTGTGGCTGAGCAGCGATTCTAAAAATAAGTAAGAGAAGAAATGTAGGACAGGGACTCTGCTTAATGTTAGAGGTTTTTTCTCCCTGTGAAAATATCTTTGCAATAAGGTTTGCTGGGGAGAGAAGGTGGATTCCTCTCCCTTCGCCAAGATGCAAGTGAAATACAGAGGTCTTTTTCAAAACACACTAGTTCAGGCTCTGTGATTATTTCCCTAATTTCAGAAATTACCTTGTGTTGTAATGTGTGGATTAATTCGATGTCCTTTGTTGGTATTGGAATATACAGGAGAGAAAATACAGGATTTGCTTTGTGAAGGGGAAAATTCGCACGACTTCAATCATGTATCTTAAAATGTTCTGGTAAGTGGCAAGTGATTGGGAAGGTCAGTAATGTTAGCACGGGACAGTGTTTTGGTGGTTTTTTTGTTGTTTTTGTTTGTTTGTGTTTTTATTTGTTTGGGTGGTTTTTTGTGTTTGGTTTTTTTTTTTTTTTTTAATGGCAGGCTGCAATTTCGTAGCTTTTAACATCATTCTGGATGGGGGGCATAGAGATACAGACTGGCCCTCTGACTCCTCGGATAACGTCTTCACTTGCAAATATGCACAGGTGTGAACGTGTGTTTTTTTCTATCCTTCTATATTCACGAAAAAAACCACAAACAAACACATACATTCATATATTTATACCCACAGATGCATAAAATCCAGTATCAATACTATTTCACAGAAATCAATATCAGCCAGCAATAACCTGCAATCCTGCCACACATGAGGATTGATTTGAAATTTTAAGGCACCTGAGAGACATAACCAATGATGTTTTCTCCTTGGATTTGTCTCTACGTGGCTATCATTTCTATCAGAGAGGACAAGAAGGACCAGAAGGAACTTTGCCTGTTGGGTAGGGAATCCTCTTAATTTCTTAGACTTCATAGACTTTTAAAAAATCCACTTTAAAACATTTATTATTATTATTATTATTACTATTATTATTACTATTATTATTATTATTTTGATTTAATCGTCCTTGTGTCCCAGGGGTCACTCTGCACCAGGCCCCAAAGAGAAAACACGGTGTGTGGGAGCCTGTCCCACTGCCTGCCCAGCAAGGGTCTCACCCCACACAAACCCCCTTGAAATATTGCACCCCTATCTTGCAATGCCACTTCTCCCAGAAACTTTGCTTAGAGGAAGGCTTAGCAGACTACCAAATGAAGACATTTCAGTGACCCTTTGACTTGTCAATTCAGGTCTGAATTTGGGATTATTTCTCCTCATCAAGGATATCTCTGGACATAAAATCGCCGGGTTTCCCCTTTCGCTACGCAGGCTGGGGGGTAACGACAAAGGGCACAGAGATGTATCTGCACGGCAGATACTGCTGCTGTGGCATGACACTGGTCTTCAGCAATTAAAAATAATAAAGATTAAGGAACTGACTTTGGAAGGAGCGGGGCGGGGAGGGGAGGGGATGGAAGGAGGAGGGGTGAGGAAAAAATTAGAAAAGCCCTGAAAGACGTCCTTATTCCCCTTGCCTTTTACCAAGTCTCTCCGGAACTTCGAGGTGACAGAATACAAACTTCACTCCGCGGGTCGTGGGTGCCGATCTCCCGCTCCCCTGGGGCGCGGGGCGGGAAGGGGTGCTTGGAGCGGGGAGGTCTGTCACGGGCGTCCTCAGGGCCTGCAACGGGGAGACGGAAAGGCAAGGGGAGGGCCCAGGTGCTTGGATTTTGAGGACCCTCACAGCAGAAAGGCCGGGCTCTGCCCAGCTCCCGTCTGTCCGCCTGGAGCAGCCCCTTACCCCAGCGGGCTATCGCTGCCGTTTTGTTGCCCGCACGAGGCTTGGGCAGGGCCAGGCTGAAGCGATCTGTTCTTTTCTGCCCGGTGCCGTGAGGTGGATCGCAGACTTCCTGCGGGCACGGCTCCCTCCTCCTTCAGTCCGTCCGACTGCTGCCCGCCGGCGGGGCCAGTAGGGACGGACCCCCGACCCACCTCATGGAGGGGCTCGGGCAGGGCAGGGCAGGGTAGGGCGCCCTTTCGGAGGCTCTGGTCCGTGGTCCCCTCTTCGTGTCGTCGTAGCCCCGAGTTCGATGCTCGTGGGCTGCAGCCCACTGCCCGGGTCGAGGCAGCTGCCGCCATCCCGGGCAGCCTGGAGAAGCCATTTGCCCGCCTCGTCTCCCTTGGCAACTGGCCCCACTGTGGGGAGGGTGTGGGGCCGCGGGGCCTCAGCCCCATCCCCTTCTTTCTCCGGGATCGAGGGAAGGTCCCGAGGGAGTCGCCCCGCACTCCAGGTGGGGGTGAAACCGGGCTCCCCTGCCGAGGTGCTGCCGTGCCCCGGCCCGCAGCTTGTGCCACTATCCCGCGGTCCTTCGTCATCCCTCCCCGTGTCTTCCCGCCCACTCCTCCATCCCCGGCCAGGAGGGTTCGTGGATTTCACGGCAGCCCCCAGGAGCGCTGGGAACCGGGAGCGAGCGGACCCCGCAGCGGCCGCCCCGCCGGGAGTGTGAGCGGCGCGGGGGGTGCGCGGGGCGTGCCCGCGGCCCGGGGGCTCCTGCCGAGGGGGGCGAGGGGGCGGCCGCTGCCCTCGGGGAAGGAGGAGCTGCGTCGTCGCCACGGGGAGGTCGCAGCCAGAAGAGACAGAGAGCGAGGGGCCGCAGTGCGGGTCGAGTGAGCGGGGGCGATGGACGGGTCCCCCCGGGGCGACGGCGACCGGCTGTGCACCGCCGCCGCCCGCGGGGACCACCAGGAGGTGCGGAGGCTGCTGGACGCGGGCGTGGATCCCAACGCGACCAACTGCTTTGGGAGAACCCCGCTCCAGGTATGGAGCACGGCGCGGGGTCGGGGAGAGAGGGGAAAGGGCAGCCCGGTTGCAGGGGGAAGCTGTGCTCTGCCACGCCGGCCAGGAGGGGTGGATAGTTCGGAATTCGAATGAATTTTTATTGTTATGATGGGAACCGGACTCCAGACGCAGCTGGATACGAAGGGGAGCTTTTCTTAACGCCTGCCATTCTGAAAAGACAAGATGGATTTCAGAGGGGAACCGCTGGCAGCAAAACGAGTTATGCTAGGGGGTACTCAATAGGAGAAGTGAGACTGCAAAATGCGCTTCCAGATGGACCTGGGGAGCTGACTGCACTTTAAGCAACTTGTCTTGGTTTTTTAAAATACAGACTAAATGGGTCTTTTTTCCCCAAGGCAATCGAAGTGGAGTCCCTTTCTAATATATTCAGGAGCAAGAACAATAGAGAAGGCGATGTAGAAATTGTACTGAGAGAAATTTTAACTTGAAACTAGGTATATATTAGTAGTTGCCACTTTTTCCTATTTTTAGTAGTAGTAGTAATTTAATATTCTCTATTCAGCAATAGTGATAGTATTCATTGATAGATATTGAAAGTACTCGTGTGTAGAATAGTTAAAATATATTCCATTAATCAACAGAGTTAAGTTCAAAGTTTGTCAGTGTTCCTTGAACGATTAAGGGACTGCAATTAAAGCTAGACTTGCATATCTCATGAAAAGGATTCTCAAGTTGTCACTTGAAGCCATCTATTTAACGATTCATCAGCTAAGCTGAACAGCCATTTTGGTTTTGGCACTTTATATGGAAAAGGAAATCTTTTTCTAAAGTAAGTTACTGGGCAAAGCTCTGAGAAAATTATTCGGTTTATTTCTGTTGTATGTTCAGATTCCTGATGAAAAGAATCTTCAAATTCTTGCAAGTTTTCTCTTTCCTTCCCACATTTCAGAGTGAGACAAGGTTCTGTTTCCCTTTTCAACACTTGCAAAATGGTTGACACTCTGATATGTGGGCTTCCTTTTCTTTTCTAAAAAAATTAAAATCAGAAATTTATGAATGATGACATGCAGAAGCATTTTTGTACTTTTATTATTAGAAATAAACACACTTATTTGAAGTGTGTAAACAAAGAATTGAGAAAGAAAAGAATGGGAAAACTCTTTTATCTTAAGGTCTTATCCATAATGGTAAGCCACAATTTACAAAGTTCAAAATTCCACTAAAAATGACCAGGACAATGAGGAAAGTAAGCACTCAAATGCAAATTGATTTTATTTGTTGGTCGATGGTTTGTGTGGTTTTGTTTAATCGTGAATGAATAGAAGTTGCCAAAAGTTTTTGCTATCGGCCGGCAAGCAGGATGTCTCTAGCGATTTGCCATCAGGAAAGTTTTTTGTGCATTACTCATGAGCAATAATAATAAATAATAATAATGGTCTAGTGGTAAGGGCGAGGCGCTCTCACCGCCGAGACCCGGGTTCGATTCCCGGTCAGGGCCACTCCCGGGCAGGTGGGGCTCGTTAGCCCTTAAAGGTAACCCACCTACGTCCTAAGGACCTCGCTGCCACCGTCCAAGCTTGCTTGGCCCCGGCAGATGAACCTTAGGATTAAAGGGTGGGCTCAGTTCCGCGCACACTGTGTCTCACCTAAAAAATCCAATGCGCAGGCTGGAAGGTGGAAAGACCTTCCCCGGATCTTTGCTCGTGAAGACTGACCATTATTATTATTATTACTCATGAGCAGCCAGCAGCTTTCCTTACATCTCTGAAAAGAAGACTATTCTGAGAGGGAGAATAGAAGACAAAGAAAAAGCATCTCGATCCAAAACTCAGGAGGAGAAAACTCATGAAAATCCACCCCAGAAGCCCGAAGGAAGCACTCACAGCTACCTAGCCTGGCTTGCTGCGCTGATCGTTGATAAATCAGTAAGGCATTCCCAGTGGCAGAAGCCTTCAGGCAGGGCTGCTCAGGGCTCTCACAATATACAGGATGTGTATGCATAATGTGTAAACATATCCATGTGCATGTGTATATATATATATATACATCTTATTTATGCGTCTAAATATATTTAATGCATTGTTAATTTATGCATGTGTATAAATCTATTTGTAGTACCTCTATATACACTATCTGTGAAATAATAGGTGGGACACCAATGGCATATCTGTTGGTGTGTCTATGTGTGTACACACATACATAACCGTGTCTGTATGTATGGATATGTGTTTTTACACACACCACGAGTAGCACTTATACCATGGTCTATACAAATGGCATAGACTGTGAAAAAGAACATACACATATATAGAACCTCGTCTGGAAACCACACGCATCGTAGCTACTGTGTTAATTTCTCGTCTAGTCACATACTCTCTGGAGTTGAAGGGAGTCGTAGGGATCCTGGCCTACGGTTGTCACTATTCATGCATGGCACGACTCCAAGTAGCTGACGTAGGAAAATTATGCCCAAAGAGACGTCAGAGCCGCCTCCGCCCGGCCTGCAGCTCGACGCTGTGCCGGTGTCCGCAGGCGCTGACGCTGTGTCTCCCCGCAGGTGATGATGCTGGGCAGCCCGCGCGTGGCCGAGCTGCTGCTGCAGCGCGGAGCCGACCCCAACCGGCCCGACCCGAGCACCGGCTGCCTCCCGGCGCACGACGCGGCCCGCGCCGGCTTTCTGGAGACGCTGGCGGCGCTGCACCGGGCCGGGGCGCGCCTCGACCTGCCCGACGGCCGCGGCCGCCTCCCCCTCGACGTGGCGGCGGGGGGCCCGCACGGAGCCGTGGGCCGCTACCTGCGCCACCCGCCGCCCCTGCCGCCAGCCGGCACGGCCGCCCGGGGGGCAGCGCCCTGACCCGCCCTCGGCCGCCCCCGCTGCGCCCCCTGCGCCCATCTCCGCCGCCACTGCCACCGCCGGCCGCTCACCCAGCGAGCCACCGCGCCCGGCGGCGCTACCGCTGCCCGACCCCTGCCAAGACTCTGCCTCTGCCCCGCTGCCCACGGCTCCTCCGCACGCCCCCGTGTCCTGCTTCTGCCGGAGGACACGTGCTGCTCAATTGCCTGAGAAAAGAAGGAAAGAACCAAAACACTGCCAAGGCTGCGTTGCTGCTCTCCCTCTCAGGCTCCCCGGCGGGCAGAGCACAGGCAGCAAAAGGTTCTCCTGTGCTTCGGGGGTGGAGAGGGGGGCGGAAAAATCCTTTCCCCTCTCCGATTTCTGATAACGGTGTAGCTGCTTAGAGGAGTCAGAACGCTGTGTTTCCCTTTCCAACTTGCTCACAGTTCTGCTTGGCATTGTAGTCATCCCTTGAGATTCTTTTATGTCCTAGGGCTCTCACATAGGGAACACTTCAGCCCTCTCCTTTACAAATGGAATTAATCTTCCCATCTTCTCCCCTCAGCAGCCCACTTCACTTACAGTTTTAATACTGAGATATAACACTGATGGAATGTCCAAATATTTAACACCGATAGACATCACAATTGAAGAACTACTACAAGTATGTCGTAGAGTTGCATTTGGGGAAGCTATCCATGTGAAAAACCATGGGTCTCTAAACTAGATCTTTGGAAAAAACAACAAATGGCCGAGTTGGGTTATAAATCTGGATCTTTTCACACTTTGCGTTTTCTCTCCTTCCTACGGAATTTCCATTGCCTACCCAATGTTTGTATCACTTGTGTGTAACCAAATACCTGTTCTTATTTGATAACCAAATACCTGTTCTTATTTGATAACGAAACAGGAGATTGGCTCAGAAAACTTCCTTCCGAGTGTTCAGCTATTAAAGCGTTCTGTGTGCAGCACCACTCAGGGTTGGGCACTGGTTTTTATTTCAACTTGGTTGATTGCTTTCTTGTTTGTGGGGGTCTGTGCATAAATACATATGGATACTCACAGCACATTCACAGCAGGCCGAATACGCAGGGTTTTTGAGATGTGTATTACTTAAGCACATACACACACCACTTAAACACATCCAAATAATTTGTTTTCTTACTAAAACAACACTTAGAGAGCAAAAGGAAAGTTTAACTGAACTTTGTAGCTTTGCATGACTTTACGCTCTAAGAGTAGGAACCTCCTCACACAGTTTATACAAGTCCCTACAAAAGCTGCTTCCTAGGAAGCACTAATTCTTAAACACAGATTCTAAGGACAAATTAAAAGACTTTCAGGAGACCAAATGTCTTTCTCCTTGTGCCAGAGGAACCATACTGGAGGAAACCAACCAACAGCACAGACTTCACCTGCCCTCTAAAATACATCTCACTTACTACACACACTGCTACACTACTCAGTTCCAGCAGGGCCTCCTCTATGACACCTTGATCTTCAGGTAGAAAACGTATTTCCAAGTACACCCAGTCACACACAGTAAAGGAGGTTGGGAACTTGACAATTATCTAAACAAGCAATGGCAGACTTTTGCAAAAGTGTGATGAAAAGTTAATTTCAATTCTTTGGAACTCTCCTGCTTCAGCCAGCACTGCAGTGACAATGGGGAGAGGAAGCAGTCCTTAAAACAGTTAAGACAGAATTTCCATCTTAGAGGGCTCGTCCCACCCAGTGCTGAGCACCTTTTGAATTCATTTCTCCTCTAGCTGATGCTCAGTTGGTTTTGATAAACCAAACACTCTCACTGGTTACAGTGCTGGGAACTCCAACTGCTCTCAGATCTGTTTTCAATACTAATACATACTAATAATAGTTCTGACGTCACAAGCCACCTGTGCTGTTGCTGAGAGATGCTTTGGATGTTGGTAGCAAGAAACACTGGGAAGAGTTAACCAAGCGAAAATGAGGTATCAGTGGGCAATCTCATGTTAACAAGACAGATCAGTGCTGGGCTGCAAAGAATGATGTAGAGAAAATAGAAAAGGGAGCAAAAGGGTAAAGGTAATCACCCACCCCACAGTCTAGTTTATGCCATATTTGAACCCACATTGGCATCAGTACATTGCACTGCTGGCATCACACACTGGAGGCTGCTCCAGTGAGCAAAGTCAATTGAGATCTCCTCCAAGACAAATGGACTTCAAAAGCCATGGATAGCTGGGTAAAACAAAATGCAACATGCAAACAATCAGTGAGAAGTGTGGTAGGGCCCAGTAGCAACTGCACACTCAGAGAGAGCAAGTGCTCTTGACACAAGCAAGTGAAGGGTGCTGGCTCGGAACATGGACAGGGGCTGTTTGGGTCTGAATGCTACCAAGTCCAAATCCAGAAGTCTCTTCAGTCAAAGCGGAAGAAGATCTGTCGCCTGTGACGCGTGCACCAAGGTGAAGCAGAGCTCCTAATGAACACTACTGGAGGGACTGTTGGACAGAAGCTGCTGTGAGTGGGTACATGTCTTCTTTTGCATTTTTATTTGCAGGGTTGAACTTACCCTGCAGTGACACTCTGCTGGTGGTCTGTGTGGATCTGGACATTTTATGAAGTTCCAATATCTGGCCTTTCCTTTGGAGGTCCACTGAAAATTTTGTGAGGAATCAGCTGGTTACAGATTCTGTGTTTCCTGGTCCTTGTTTCATCCTGGCACCCCTCCTGCTTTGTGCATCTGTGCTATTTGCAAGCACTCAGTTCCACCCAGTCTCCCCTCTGTACAAGTGGGGAAGAAAATTAGGCTTCAAGCATTTCTTTCTAACGCACCCACTCTTGTCCAGCTGCATTTCTCTGTTTCCCCAAGGCAAATCCTGCAGTGGAGTAAGAGGGACCGAGCTGTTCTTCAACAAGTCCTGCGAGCTCCAGGGCTGCTCTCTTTTCCCAAGGTCTTGAAAGCATTCAGGTCATCGAAATCAAGGAGTTAGTTTAGGGCAATTCCACTGGAGGAAGCGAAGCAGACTTGGAAAACTTCAGGTTAAATTTGACTAGCTATTACTTCTATTAGGTTTTCCGTGGTTCTAATGAGTTTTGTATGAGATATGTCATTTACCCACAGAGAAGCTGCTTTGTTTGATTCAGCACACACTATTTAGGTATCTGTGCTGAAGTAGGCACTGTTTAAAGAAGACTTTAAAATGGTCTGCGAAACATACAGCGGTGGTTCGGACTTGGCTCACTTGGGCACGGGAGCATGGTATTGAATGGGTATATCACATTCCACATCATGCACCCGCTGCTGGGAAAGTTGAAAGATGTAATGGACTGTTAAAAACAAGTCTAAAGGCGCTTGGTGGGGGAACTTTCAAGAACTGGGATAAGCATTTAACCAAGGCCACCTGGGTAGTTAACACTAGAGGCTCTGTCAATTGAGCTGGTCCTGCCCAAGCAGAATCCCTCCACACTGCAGATGGAGACAAAGTTCCAGCGATCCATCTGAGAGGTTATGCTAGGGAAGGCTGCTCAGCTTACTCCTCCCTCAGGCCAAGATAAACCCATTCGTGGGATTGTTTTCGCTCAAGGGCCCAGAAATAGCTGGTGGGTAATGAGAAAGGATAGAAAGATCCAGTGTGTGCCTCAAAGAAATTTAACCTTGAGGAAAGACATATGAGTTGTGTTTTGCAGGAAACTAGTCACCAGGTGAGAAAGACCTGAACAAATTGATGCTGGTATCCAATGATAAAACAGCCCAGACCAGAGAACCAGCCCTAAAACGCAAACTGTGATTATAACCAAAGGGTCAAGGATCTGAGCTAATGTTGATGCTGATGCCGATCTTCTATGACAAGACAATTGCTCCAAAGGACTATATACACATATATATATGTATATATGCGTGAGATATAAGTGAACACAAAATATAAGTGTTACATAAAAATAATATGGAATAAGGGGTGGAGAATGTGATGGTTTTGGTCTAGGTCTTCCTGGTAACCAGCTCGTAACCAAGGAAGTGGCCATGTACCCAGTATCCCATAAAATTTTTACATAAACCAGGGTAGAAATAAGTTGGAGATTAGAGACCTCGCTCTCTTCTCTTCTAGTGAGGTTCAGGGCAGTGGGTCCTTGTGTTGGTCTCATTTATCTCACGCTGAGGCCTTCAGTGACCGCTGGTCTGCCACATGGAAGATTGGAGAGTGCTGGCGGTGTCTGCCAATCTTGCTTGTCTGAGGGACATGGTGAGATTTGTTTTGCTAGTTATTTTGATAGTTCTTGGGTTTCATTGTGTATATATGTTCTGTGTTCCTTTTTGTCCCTTTTTACCCCTTTCCATTCCCTTCGTGGGGGGGGAGTTTGGATTCCCTTCACTGTGTACATAGCATCTTAATTGTATAGAACTGTAATATACGTATATGCATACAGTTTGCAATCTGTGATGTTTGAAAACTAGGCAACGGTCACAATTGAACATCCTAGAGATGCAATTTTGCAAGAGCTTCAAGCTAGTACTTGTTAAAACTGCTTCTCGTGTTATGATACAGGAGCAGTGCCAATAGCATGGTCGCAGAAAAAAAAATTGTCATGGATACACTCAAACTGAAGTGAGGCAATTTTCATCAGTGAAGTTCTCTGCCTGTCACTGTCTCATTCTTGCCAAACCAGATACATTCTGAGTGTGAGAATGACCATGGTTCTCTGCTAGAATGCTTACTGGGTTTTAGGAATGCAGTACATTGAATTTGTATCTTCTTGCTCTCTGTCACATCTGCAGTTCTTCCTACAATACATTTCTTAAGACTCTTTTAAAGACAATTAAAAGCACTTATATTTGGCCCTATCTTAATATAATTAAACACTTACCTATGCTTTTCTTGCCAATCACCATCTCTGTTGTACAGTCTGCTGGATAAATAACTCCCAACACATTTCAGACTATAAAATGGATGCTGAACTTTGCAAAGAAACCCTAAACACTGCCACTCTTTTCCTGACTTTATATACAAATTCTGCCTGAGACACCTTCAGGTATCAAGCCTCTGTTGACAGAGCAAGTCCTATAGAATGAATTTGGCTGGAAGGCATCTTCAAAGACCAGAGAGCCCACTCCTTCTACCACGGGCAGGCACCCCTTCCACTAGGCCAGGCTGATCAAAGCTCTGTCGCACCTGACTTTGAACACTTGTAAAGATATTTACAACTTCTCTGAGCAGCCTGTTCCAGTGTTTCACCACCTCCATCGAGAAAAAATTATTACATCCAATAGAAATACACCCCCTTTCAGTTTAAAGCTGTTACCCTTTGTCCTGTCACTACAGGCTGTGCTGAAATGTCTCCCTCCACCTTTCTTATAAGCTCCCTTTAAGTCCTGAAAGGCCACTATAAGGTCTCCCCAGAGCCTTCTCCTCTCCAGGCTGAGCAAGCCCAATTCTCTCAGCCCATCCTCATAGGAGAGGTGCTCCAGTCCTCTGATTATCTTAGTGGCCCTCGCTGGACTTGCTCCAACAGCTGCCTTCTAGGGAGGACTCCAGAACTGTTTGCAGCACTCCAGGTGGGAGTGCTCACCAGAGGGGAGTAGAGGGGCAGGATCACCTCCCTGGCCACGCTGCTTTTGATGCAGCCCAGGATGCAGTTGGGACTTCCGGGCTGTGAGTGCACATTGCTGGTCCACGTTCATTTGTTTCCTCCACCAGCACCCCCAAGTCCATCTCCACAGGGCTGCTCTCAGTCCCCTTTGCCCCATCTCAAATGCAGCACCTTCCGCTTGGCCTTGTTGACCTTCACAGAACTTGCACTGGGCCCCACTCCTCAAGCCCCTCAAGGTCCCTCTGGCTGGCATCCCTTCCCTCTGGTGAATCAATTGCACCACTCAGCTCGGTGTCTTCCCCACACTCAACCCCACTATCCTGTTTCACTGATGAAGATGCTACCCACTACTGGTCCCACACCTTGGAGGGACACCACTCGTTACTGGTTTCCACTTGGACATGCAGCTATTGACTGTAACTCCTTGGACACAGTCCTCCTTACCTAGTGTTGTTATCTAGCCTTGTATAGGAAGAATTTAGAACAGAAATGTGGAACAAAACTCACTACCTATGGACCTGCTCTGTGCCACTGTCCAGAGACACTAAGTACCCAATAGAACAATAAAAACCAAAATCAACACAACAATTACCTTTATATGTCACCACCAAATGTAAAAAGAGAAGCTAAGGGAGATTGAAAATGGACACCCATAAACAACTTTCTCTTGGAACATCCAAATACCAACTTCCTGGCCTCAATCTATTTCACCAAAAGTGCCTAGGGGACAAGGATAAGAAGAGAAACCATTTCTAAGGCCAAATACCTGCGCTGGCTTAGTGCAGTGAAATGTATGTTCAAGCTCTGGCTCCTGCAACCCAAGTTCTCAAAAAACCCACCAGGAAATACAGAAAAGCAGTTCATCCACTGCCCCCAGTATCTGAAAAGCACTTGTACTGGTTTTGCTAGTCAAAACGATGTCCAAATCTAACGGTTTTCACAGCAGCAGACTGGATGTCTAACAGAACAAGACTGGCAAGGTAAAATGCTTATGTACCTTCTTTCTTCTATTTTCCTTTGGATAAGTTGGGGTTTTTTTACATTACTGTGAGAATCCTTACCTTTCACGTTTCTGATTATTTTCCTTGCTTGCCTTGCATTCTGATCCACTTGTGTCTCATCAAATCCCTGTTGTAGGAACTTAGAACCTAGAACTCTGAGCAGCACAGTGTCTTCTAAAAAGTGGTCTTTCTAAAAGCAGTGCTTGCTTATAAGGTATCACCACCAACCTGTGCCAAGAATGGCAAAGTCATTGTGAGATAAAGAAAATTCAAGCACTAATGACTAGAATTAAAAAAAACCAAAAACAACCAAACCACAATTTCCACACAGCTTGGAGAAGCATTTAATTAACTAGACAAGAAGCAGCAGGTTATTTTATTAAAGTAAAATTATATTTAAAAAATTGAAATGCATACATTCAAAGCACTTGAGCTCATTAATCAGTTAATACATAAACTAAACCTGGAGTTGTTCAGAGAAGCAGAAAATGGCCAGCATAGTGGGACACTGGCAGCAAAGCACTTTTCAGTACAATTCTGTAAGTCACATAAGTACATCTTTAGGCACAAATCTGGCCTAGGCATTACTTCACTTTTTCAATGAGAACATTAATTCATTATGCACCTGCTGCTGTGACAGAACCACTACAATTGTTAAATCTTGTCTTCTAGCACACAAAAAAATACACTGCTCTAAAAAGAAATAACTGGAATTAAAAATAAGGATAATGTATAAAAATAGCATAAATTTTATTTGACGATTTGTTCAGTTTTTCTGTTATGTTTCAGAAGTGAATTGCAACCACTTTTAAGAAAAGATGGGAGGTAGAAACAGCAACACAAATACCCTATCTGCAAATCTGCTTTATTTTCTTACCTTATTTTATGAAACTACAAAAAGAGTATTACCTAGACTTTCATTTCTACCATCAGTTAAAAGGTACCACTGAATAGAGGATACTGACTTTTTTTCTTCAACCATTGTCTGATCCAGCTTGACAGTAAAGTTATTTTTAGTTGAAAACATACTCAATAGCTAATTTTAATCATCTTATACATTATCAAACTGATAACAGCGGCCTTACATATTATCACTGGTTAACATTTAGTCTGTTCTTTTATGCTTCTAATAATTTTTGAAGATATTATAACCTCTGGAAGTTCAAAAGTGATCCACTCTTCCTTGCAAGCACTCCAAGGTTCATCCAGGTTGTTACTGCTTTGGCAGGATGACCGAACACTGCACTGTTGTCTGAAACACAAAGTCACAGTACATGAATGCTGCTTCTGCCAGTGCAGGGTGGATTACTTTTCAATGTAAAGGTAGACTACACAGCTTCCATGTGGATTACGAACAGGTGTAACACCCTACAGGTGCAGAGTTATATCCAACTTCTTCCAAAGCACAGAATTTAAAAGAATTATAGGATGGGCATACCTGCACATGGAGTTGTCATTACAACTTTTGAAAACCTCTGTGACAGGGTGATTGGTATTGAGAAGAACAACTGTATTGCAGAAATACTAAATTATGGACTTTAGGTTCACACGCTACAAATGAAAAATTGTGCAGCTTGCTTTTCTTGACTTCCACACAATTTTTCATCAGTTTGGAAGTACAGCTATTAAGAAAAGAAACCTTTCTCTAAAAGTGCATTCACTTGGAGTGAATGCAATCAAGGGCAACTTTGACTTTAGCCACTTTCAAGGGCAGGACCTGAGAAACACTTCAATCTCAGCTTTTGTGAGAAATCCTTGGCCTGCAAGTACCACTGCGTGTGCAGACCAGTACAACTACAGTGGAAGCGAAGCCTTGATGAATTTTCCCCCTCTGCCTTTTTTCACCTGAGTCAGTTTACTCTGGTCCCATAAATACATTCACTGATTTCACTGAGATATTTTTTGAGGAAGAAAATGATTCAAAAATATTTACAGGATTAGAGTTCTACATAACTACCTTAGGAACATCAGTTTCAGTTTGTGATAGAGTAGAAAAAAATGACTGAAAAAAAAATTAAACTTTATGGCCTTTAAGTTGTTACCTACCAAACATAAATGCCCACGTGAGTCAATGATGATGTTGAAGCACGTATATATGGTATCTATAGGTACCTTACCCAGTCTAAACTATCCCACAGTATTGACTTGCCACAATACTCAAAATACAGCATTATTCCTTGTATCAAAGGTCTGACAAATACATTTCACGAAGGCTAGTACAGAAGTTCAAATAAAGGCAGGTAGCATCAGCAGGTTTCCTCACAGAGACAAGAAATTTACCTGAGGAGCACTCATGAAAGCTCTGACACCTTACCACAAGCGGATTTGCTTGCAGCCACAATGTAAGAAAAATCAGTTTCAACAGGACATCCCTTTTATCATTTTAGTTCAGATTCTATCCTGATCCTTATGGGGTTGAACATCATTGTAAGAAAGGTACAGAGCTCAATTCTCAGTTATTATGAGATAAAATTCTTTACAACAGGACAATTTTTGCTCTCTAACCAATATTTTTCCTAGTGAAGATAAGGAAGAGTCTACTGTATCAGTTCCCATTTGAAATTGTCTGCTGTCACCAATTCATTTACTGCCTTCAGCAATGAGACCATGTTTTACATGGTAAGTTTTTGGGGTTTAAAACTGAAGCTAGATCTTTGCAATAAGGCTTGCAAGAATCTTGTAGAATGTTTGCCCCTCTTGGAGAGATTTGGTTTCATCTACTCTGAAACATTGTGATTTAAACAGAAATATATTGTAACATACACCTTTGTTATGTATTTATACACATACCCCATTTCTTGTACTCATCAGCCTCATGTGTGTACTTACTTTCAGGGTGTGCAGGGTGTTGGTCCATTCCATGGAACCTATCTGAGGTATAGCAGTAAGGAGTATGCTAGTAGCCTTATTTGCATTCCCTTTCAGCGTCTTTAAAACTTTATCCACTGAAACCTAGAAATACAATAAAACTGAATGATGTCTCTCAATTTTGATGGCACACGTTTTTAACAACCAAATAAATTTAACTCATAAGTGTAAAGGTGAAGCCTTACAATGTCTTTTTAGACAGAAAGAACACCTTTCCTCTGTGTGTGTATGGTGTATATTTGTGTACTGTACACAAACAGGAGAACTAAGGCAGGTGTGCTGTTTTGCACAGAGTTGCAAAAGAAAAAACACCAGTCCAATTACAAGAAGACAAGTCATACACAGAGTTCATGAGCTTCATAATCAAAGACCACCTGATTCAGACAAGAGGAAACAAAAGGTTTGCTAGTATTGAGACAAGTTTGTGAATATGAAAGAGAGAAACAACTGACTGTTCTTACTTTCATAATCATACATCACGAATACCTCAGGGATACTGATGTAGGCAAGAGCAGACTTAGTTCAATATGTCATCTCTTACCAAAACCACATTCTCACTCAAATCCCTCATGACAAGACCAGAGGAAAAAAGTTTCACTCACTGCTTCTTCATGTTCCTTCCAGCAGTCATAATCTGTTGCCATGGCAATACTAGCATAACTCATTCCAGCTTCCTTTGCAAGAATCACTTCAGGCACTGTGGTCATGTTGATAACATCAGCTCCCCAGCTGCGAAACATACAGCTTTCTGCTCGAGAACTGAAACGTGGGCCTTCGATTGTGACCATTGTGCCCTTGGAATGACACTGGAGCCCCAGCTTCTTGGCAGTCTCAATAAGAACCTGCAAAACATGCCGACGTCAGGAAAAGGAAGTAATTCCCATCCTGCAGTGCTTCTGCATCCCACCAAAAAGCTTATATACAAAAGAAGTTAGCTTTATACAAAGCAGTCAAAGTTCATATGGCTACAGCTGTCCAAAATGAAAGATCAGTTTAGTTTTCCTCACTGAACAAGAGAAATTTACAGTCCTACCAACAGTAATGAACTTAAACTCATTTGACTTTGTTGGTATCAGTTGGATTACGGCTTTCAGTGCAGACTAAGAAGACCGGAAAACAGGATTTTTTTGCATATTTAGACTGTGCTTACACTATAAAGAGAATGGTGGAAGAGCTCCACTGAGCACTACATTATCACATGGTGGAGTTGAGCTAGTGAGAACAGTAATATGAAATTTACATTTTGAAGAGCTGTGGTCAATGGGTCATTGTCCACATGGAGACCAGTGATGAGTTGTGTCCCTCATGGGTCGGTACTGGAGCCGATACAGTTCAACATCTCTGTCAGTGACACAGACAGTGGGATCGAGGGCACACTTAGTAAGTTCACTGACACACCAAGCTGTGTGGTGTAGTTGATAAAGTGGAGGGAAGGGATGCCAATTCAGAGGGATCTTGACACACTTGAGCGGTGGGCCAACACAAACCTCATGAAGGTCAACAAGACCGAGTGCAAGGTGCTGCACCTGCGTTGGGGCAGTCCCAGACACAGCTACAGGCTGGACAGAGAAGTGATTGAGAGCAGTCCTGTGGAGAAGGACATGGGGGTGACAGTTGATGAAAAACTCAACATGATCCAGAGATGTGCACTGGCAGCCCAGAAAGTCAGTGGAATCCTGGGCTGCATCAAAAGGAGAGTGGTCAGCAGGTCAAGGGAGAGGATTCTACCCCTCTACTCTGCTCTTGTGACACCCCACCTGGAATACTGCAAACAGTTCTGGTGTCTCCAACACAAGGACATGGAACTGTTGGAGCAAATCCAGAGAAGTGCCACAAAGTTGACAAGAGGACTGGAGCATCTCCCCTATGAAGACAGGCTGAGAAAGTTGGGGCTGTTCAGCCTGGAGAAGAGAAGGGTGCACGGAGACCTCACAGTCACCTTCCAGTATCTGAAGGGGCCTACAGGGAAGCTGGAGAGGGACCCTTTGTCAGGAGGTGTAATGATAGGACAAGGAGTAATAGGTACAAATTGAAAGAGGGGAGATTTACATTACATATTAAGAAGAAACTTTTTACTGTCAGAGTGGTGAGACACTCAACAGGTTACCCAGGGAGGCTGTGGATGCCCCAACCCCAGTGTTCAAAGACAGGCTGGAAAAGGCCTTCAGCAACCTGGTCTAGTGGGAGATGTCCCTGCCCACAGGAGGGGGGATGGAACTAGATGATGTTTAAGGTGCATTCAAACCGTTTAGCATACTATGATTAATTCTCTGCTGTAAGTTAATCTAATATTAATCACACATAATATTTTGGTTTATTGCTGATGTTAATTCTGAATCTACATTTAACTGAACACCAATTATTACACATTGTTAATAAATCAATAGACAACTTGAACTGTGACTTGACCTAAGCCACAGTTGAGTAGTACTTTTCCAAAATACTTTACAAAGTTCCAATTTTACTGCCTATAAGATGTTGTGTTGAGCTTCAGTTTCTGAAAGCAGTAATAACCAAGGCACTCTGTAGTATGCAAAACTTTACAGCTGGAGGAAAATATAAACTCAGTTCAGATTCTTATTTAATTTACAGTGCATAAACCAACTAAACCAGAATATTTTAATGTATTTGCAAAAATGCAATAAAATATAAAGTTTTTAGATGTTTTGATGCAAAATTTCTTAAATAGAATGTTACATTTAGAGTTTGGGTTTTATTGTTACTGCATTTATCGATGAAATTCCCCTGAATTGGGCTGAAATTATTCCAACAATTTTCAGGGATAGTTTTATGGAAAAAGTTTAAGTCACTTTTGTCTGGTATTTCAAATGAAGTAAAAATATTCCTTCTCAGCCTCACAAAAAATTCAAAACCACATGTTCTTTAAAAAATCTGTTGAACTGACTAGAATGCATAGGCTAATGAGATTATGATCACATGTGAGACTGGAAAGTACCTAAATGTTTTTTCTCTGTTTGAAAAGGTGCATTTCTCTGTTGGCTTTTCAATAACTGTAATACCTAAATAATATTGTCTCTAGTTAGTTAACAACTGAAAGAAAACAGTTCTAGGTGTATGTTTCCTGCAAGCCCAGGAAATGTCTTATGCATGAGTACTTACATTTTTTTCCAAAGTGAGAGACAGTGTGAAGTGCTGCCAATCATTTCAGAAATAACACTGTTTTTAATCCATTTCTTAATAAACTCCCTGTATTTGTTGTGACATGACACCACGCTCACAGTTAGAAGGCAATTCTATGCCAACTAACCTTTGGTAAGAGCATGTGACTAGACTCTTTTTTGCAAGAAAAATGAGAAGTATTTTGTATAATTTGCAGCTCAACAGAAGGTCAAAAGTATGCACATGTTTAATATGCAGTGGTTTGTTTCCTCATGAGACTTGAAACATCTTTAGTTCACTGTAGAACACTTCAATTCCCAGTGTGGACTTGCTGGTGGGTAAACCAGCAGTGTGGCCAATTAACAAAAATAGCCTGTAATGACACTGAAGTGAACCGGTGACAAAAGCAGAATAGATCAGCAGTACAGATGTTTGTACATTCTCTGGGTATAGATTGTGCCACGTTTCACAATTCAGATTTGTCTTCCTTGCAGAGAGCAAGGCTGTTAGAGCAATATGACTGATTCTGTAAGTACTCCTGCTCCCCTGAGGAATGCACCTCCTTGCAGCTTCTGATCAGAGCATTCAACAATAGCAAAAATTTGCAGTTCAACGGTCACCTTCCTTTTTCCTCAACTCTAAGAATACACTAAGGTGACACAATTGCAGGTACAGCCCTCCCAGAAGTTTATAAAGGTGCTGAAAAACAGAGAAGTGTTTCAACACTCCCTAGTCTAAATATTTATGAACCTTGAAAATCTCGAAGGGACCAAACCGAAAGCAAGTTAAGAATAACAGGCTACTGCAATTTGGCAATTTAACATCCTAAGCCTTCACTCTCCACCATCGCCCACCTCTACAATGCACAGATCCAAAAATGCAAGACTGTAATTTCTGTGAATGCTAAAGTACTATTCATTTAAATATTTGTATTAAATATGTGGAGTGCCCCTACTGTAGGTGCAGCTTTATTCAGAACAAAACGGATCCTAACTTTAACTGCTTTGTTTACTTCATTGCTCTCTTTTCTGGTTACCTGATAAACAAAGATCTTTTATCCATTTATTAAGACTCTGGGGAAATCTAGGTTGCCAAATGATGTCTTCTGCATACTTCCCTTAGAAAGACAGATGCAAGATCCTATACTTCCTATGCCTTCCAAATGCTACACTTGTCCTTAATACCACGACATATCTGAGAGACAGGACAAAGAGGTGCATATTGTGACCATATTCTAAGAATGCATAATTAGACTACTATATCACAAAAAATTGCCATAAAAATAACATTTCTAAATACTATTACAAAAGTCACTAACCTCTCTGGTTTTGGTGCAGAACGGCTCTGCCATTGGAATATGACATACTCCTGGAAGACTGGAATGTTGCCCGTCGTATAAAGTACAATGTCTTTTAGTTGTCCTAGAAAAGCAGCAACATGCTTAGGGAGAAGAATGGAGAGAAAACAGAAGAGAAAGCAAGAAATTTCTACAAATCAAAAAAACACAGCATCCCTGGGAGGTGGGGGGAAAAAATCAGTATGATCTTAATGACCACCTATAATCCTGTTTTGCCTCTGCACAAACCCTTCAGAACTGAGCTCAAGACTATAAAAGTGTTACTCCAGCAGGGCATTATCAAATAATATGAGAAAATCTTTTCTTAACAAGACACTGAAATGCTTATTTGTTTCTTAGCATTTTCACAATGTTCCTCAGCCATGTTTGCCGCATTATGTTCCAATTCTACCCAAAAACAATCAGCTAATTCATTAGTCAAATAACCTCCAAAAAAAAGAGTACAGTAAGCTTTCAAGAAGGCAAGGAATAAAGTCTGAATTACCACAAGGCTAGTCAAGATAGAACTTGTTCATATCATTGCATTCCTACATTGAAAGGATGGAAGTTTATATGAACAGCTTCCTGCACTAAAGAGGTGTGAATGCAACTAAAAAATCTTGGCAACAGGTTGTCTCCTTGTTCTCAGAAAGATCACACAAATGCACTGGCAGCTTCCAAGCAGGAAAATCCTTTTTCTCTTTTCTTTCAATTGAGAAATTGTTTCTTTGCATGCAAATGGCCAAACATGCTGCAGAAATTACCATCCGGCATGCCATTCTGGAACACATGTGTAGTAGTTTCAAGACTAGGCCTTCTTGGTGACCAGGTTGTAACCAAGGAACCAAGGCCATGTTCCCAGTATTCCATACAATTTTTACGTAAGCAAGAGTATAAATAAGAAGAGAGAGGAAACTCTCGCCCTCTTTCTTCCGGCGGACCGAAGGCGAAGGTAGCTTTGCTGTCGCTCTGCCCGGGCGAGGGAGTGAGGCCTAGCGCATCTGGTTGGCCTTGAGAGGCAGAGAGTGCCGGCGGTTGTGTGGTGTGGTTCGCTATCTCTGGAGGGAAGTATTTGCATTATATCCCTTTTTATCCCTTTTTCCTTTTCCCTTTCCCTTCCCTTTCCCCCTTTGGGGGGTTCCCTGTATATAATTTTATATATATATATATATATATATATAAATCTTCCACTTAAAATTCAGTTCGGTTTGGGTTCTTTTAATTTTCTTTTTCGTGATCTTTTCGATCAATTGCATGAGAGTGAAAGGAAGGGGGGAAGGCTTTGTCCCTGAGGTCCGGACACTTGGCTGGGAGCCAAGTCCAACCTGGGACAACATGAACTGTTGCCCACTATCACTTTACCTTCAAATGCACTACCTCAAGCTAATTCAGCCAATTGGATGGCACAAACCCTCTGGAACAAAACTCTTTGAGACATTCCCTTCTTCCTTGCAGTGTTTTACATACCGTACATTAGAAGAGAAAATGGAGACAACAGCCAAGTTCAACCCGGAGTTAAAACACAAAACATCTGCTGCTACTACTGTTTACAACAGCCCCCCCGCCATGCAAGTTAGCAAGTATTTTTAAAAAAAGGTTTAAAACACAAGTTATACGTTAAAGTAGGTTTGGAGAAAAAAAATAGGGTAGCCTATGAGCTAAAAAATGAGATTATAAAATAGTAAAGATATTAAAAAATTAAAAATATATGTAAAATGGGATACACTGTTAAAATCAGTGGAAATACTGATACTACCTTTTTCTTTACAGGATATTGAAAAGGTGCAAATAGAACATATCTGATTTTTCATACTTTTCTGTAATGTCTGTTAATAAACTATCTAGAGTTGGAAGAAATGGTAAAAGTCATAATCCATTTTCTGCATTATAGTATTTCAGATGTTGTAAATACTAATATCGGACTTTCAGATACCCTGTTCTTTGAAGAGAACAGCCACATCTCTACGTGGCCTATAAAGAAACCCTACTACGTTTAGCACCATACATACAAACTGCATGGGAATAAGTAACAACAGTAAGACCTGCAGTTGCTCTGAGCAAATGGACCACATGTGTTTGCACTTCAGAGTGTGACAATTTCTCTTCTGTGTGGAAGGCTGCAACTCTGCAAAGGCCAGCTGATGTGTCTGTAAGTTGCTTGGGTATGGTAAGACTAAAGGTGGATTTGAACCTATTTCTGACTCCTGCTACACATGAAATAATGGCTGGCAGAGAGGAAAGCCTTTTAGCCTCTCCTTCTTTCCCCAGCCCTCCTACTCAAGTCAAAGGTTGACCATTTTGATCTGTCCAACTCATCTGTCTGCAAGGTACAGGGTAGCAGCACGTAATTTTAACTGCTGCAATACCATTCCCCTGTATCCCTTGCAGAAAAAATTAAGGTCACAGAGTCACAGATGCTTTCCACGCCTTACTCTCACAGAGAGACCAAGAGCCAGAAACAAATGATAGTACTTGTCTCTTATTATAGGTATTTGAAGACATCCCCATGTACCCTGAGTGACTCCTTATGGAGCCAGCAGGAAACAAGAAATAAAGAACTCAACAGCCAGTCTTTGAAGACAATCTGCTCCTTAGATCTCACAATTTTAAGTGTGGAGAAGTTTGCACGCCCTCTGTCAGAAGAAGGCCTACTTAACAACAAAGCCCAACTGAATGTTATACAACTGCCTGATTGCTTACAATAAAACAGGAATAAGTCACCACGTGCCTGCCTAGAAACCAGCCATGATACTCACAGTAGAAGTGCACAATCCAGAAGGATCCAGCATAAAATAAAGGAAGAGTACAGAGATACTCCCAGTGGGGGAAATTAGAAGCAGCACTAACTTTAAACAAGCTGCAAAGAGGTGGTGCTGCATTGCTTCTGGTGGTCATCTGACCTATGAGTAGAGCTCTGCAGAGAATGAAGCCTCATGATGCCTCTGTGCCAAATAGTGGATGGCTTTGGAGAAGAAAGGGGAATTCTTTCCCTAGGAAAGGGGTATTTATGTTTTTAAGCACAATTGCTTGAGTACCAAGTTCAAGGAAACACTGGTACTCTTAGTGCAAGCAAATCCTTGCACTGTTACACAGTTTTACCATGCCTTCTTCACCCATACTGGTTATTGAAATTCAAAGCTGCACCCACTACAATATTGAAGGTGTTCCCAGTTTCTATTCCCCACTCTGCAGTAACAGTCACACCTTTAATCAGAGAGTAAGGTGGTTTTTGCTCCTTCATTTTGGTTTTATGAGTAACACAGAATTTTCTGGCAATTCTGATTATGTCTGATTCTAGGATGCAAAATCCAACTCAAATAAATGAACAAACCAACCACTTCTGTGTGTGACAAACAGCTATCACTTGCATCATCACCTTCCTCCTTCTCTCAGTAATGCTGAATTATCAAACTATTATTAATAAAAGAACAAAATGCAAATTCACAGCAGCATTGGTTGTACAAAAATCAGTCTCAGTATGCTCTGCGTCTTCAGGGACACTGAAAGAAAATTCTCCCTCAAAAAAACTTAGAGCGTAACAATACTGAACAATTGCAGTCGTGTATGTGACACAGAGAATCAAAACAATAAAACTGGCAGCTGTTACAGGATTTCTTTTACAAAGCTATTTTCTGCATCTCCCCAACTGAGTTATGTCATTCAAGGAAGTCTTACTCTTCTTTGCCTACCAAATATCAGCAGCAAACCAAAGCATTCAAAAGCCCCTAATCAGTCCGATGTAGTGAGTTGACTAACAATGCTGTAATCAACTAACAGGAGCTAAAGGTATAAAAAAATTTTCCCTTTTTTTTTTTTTTTTTTTTTTTTTCAAGTACTTGTTACAAAAAAGAAAACAAGTGTTGCAGTTCATAGTAGCACCTGTGGTTATTTCTGGATTTGGAAGAAGGGAGAACACAATGTATTTCTGTATTCATTGTAAAAAAGGAATCTTTTATTGTTTAAATACACATAATTATAAGGACAAAGAAAGCAGAGACGGAATACCTAGTGTTTCCATGTTCCTCTTGCACTGTGGAGCCTAAGACAGGATACAGTACTCCAGGTGCAGCTCACCAACATGGATTACAGGGGAAGAAGGATCAAGTTCTCCAACTTGCTGGCAACACCCCAACTAATGCAGCCTGAGATACTCTTTGCCTCTTTTGAAAGATTGGTGTTGCTGGTAATCTTTAAATGTAACTTTATTTTCCCCCCAGCTTCGCTTGAATTATTCTAAACATCAGATAACCATGGAGGGTTAGACTGGTGCAAGGAGACAGACTTTGGAAAGAAAGTTGCTTATGATTCTTAGCAAATAAATGCAAGCATGTATCCTCATTTTAAAACAACCTTGTCTCTTTTGTTACTGTGTTGCATTTACCTCTCTTCTGCAGAACCTTATCATTACTGCCTATATTTTCCTACTATGATTTTTCATCCCTCTCCATCTCACTTCAGATACTTCCTAAAACTTGAATGCTCTGTGCTCTTATCCATGTTTCTTACCCACATCTGAGAATAGGGGATTTCTTCTGAAGAAGAATACTCTTCTCATGGAGCTGTACTTCAGTTCATTCATGGCCACTCTTGAAAACCTGGTACCTCTATACCTGTTAGAACTGAACTTTTCGTAATCTCATTCCTATTTCCTATCATATCTCCTAGCATGAATCTCACTTTTTGACAGAAGAACTGAGGTTATCACCTCATTTCACAAAAACTTGATTTAAAACAGACATGTTGTTATTGTTTAACCCCACCCGTCCACGTTTACCTCCCTGTTACTCACCTGTCAATAAACTGGTCAATTATGACAAGATCACCAGGTTGTATTTCCTCTCGTAAGGAACCACAGGCAGTAGTAACTAATATGTGGGAACAATTTTCTTCTTTCAAAGCCCAGATATTGGCACGGTAATTGACGTTCGATGGCATAATTGTATGATGTCTTCCATGTCTGCAAAGGTACATGTGGCAAGAGAGTAACATAAATCGGACTGAAATTGCCTTCCTTATTCCAGATAAAGAGAATTCCAGGAAACATATTTTCCCTAGCAATATTGGAAGTGGAACGGATCATTTCAGCTACTTCCAGTGTAGCTTGTTTTCCTAAACATACTAAGGCCCTTTCAGTATTCAACTTAGAAATAGTGGTGTAATTGTCTTTTTAAGTGCAAAAATTTTTAAGTTTAAGACTGTAATGAAAAGAATCTTAAAAACACAATCCAAATATACTTCATCAGATTCAAGAGTAAAATAAGCATTTTCCTCTGAATTTTCTATGTCAGTTCCATAGATTCTGAAACTGTTTTCCCATACAACACAAGAAATTTTTAAGATTTATATACATCTCCAGGAATCTTCTGCCCAGAAGTGCTGCTTGTATTTCCCCACACAGAAAAGAGCAGCACATCACAGAACACTGTGTTCTAACCTCTCATCTTTCCAAACAAAACAGCAGAATCATCACATTTTTCTCTTCACTTTTGAAGTGATCTGACTGCTTTCATAAATTAAAAGAATGACTTCACACTGATGCAGTATTCTTCTTCACCAAGACAGGAAGTACTTAGTCTTGTAAGCAACGAGCTCTTGTGCTATCTCTGTCTTGGTTAAAGAAGTACATCACTCACATAATGACTAAACACATTTGAAAATTACTTTCAACCATGAAAGAGAAAACAAGGAACTTTATTTCCCAACTGATTTTTTCAAGGATCAAAAAGTCCTAAGAATTTGATCATTTGGGAACTGAGAGCTGCACACAACATGACCAAGTACTGTCAGGCAAGAGTCCCATGTTGTCATTAGCATTTCTGATAAGCTACTAGGAATGCAGATTTATTGCTTAACGTTGCAGTTGCTGTCAATCCTCTTCTAGAATACATGTGCCTTTTTCTAATTTGAAATCTGATATTCAGAAACCAAAACACAAAGTGTTTTGAGGTACCTCAGCCCTAAAAGTAAACTCACAAAGGTCATATATGAATGGTCATAAATCCCAGTGAGGAAGTTAAATCACAGCCAAGTTGTTAGACATCTGTGGCCCAAGGTCTAGTTTGACACAGCACTGCCATGATATCTTGACTTAGCATTTCATTTGAGAAAATGAGAAAAATGTTGTCCAGCTGTAAAAAAATACATGAGCAAAGTCCACGAAAGATAAGAAAAATAAAACCACAGACAGAAGTGTAGTTGCAGAGACGGTTAGCAGTCAGCAGCTTTAATAGAAAAACACTGGCATGAACAGAATCAGTGCCCTGAGTGCACCACTGGGTCCTAACTGCCCTGGCCTGAATCATTTAGGGAAAACTGCAGGGGATGTAGCCCCCTAACCAATAATTGTAACAGCCAGAGCACTCAATAATCACAGGGAATGATTTGGAAGACTCTACAGTAATATCAGAGACACAGTTGATCTGGAAACAGGCATTTTCTCCATTTCACAAAGGAAATCTGCAAACACAGTGAGCAGATGAATTAATTAGTAAGGTTATCAGCACCACCTACCTACCACCAGAGCAGATGGCCTTGCAGGCTGCCATTCTCACTAGGGCAATACCTCCATTGGATTTCTCTTTCCTAACCTAGACAGTATTTTTAATATTCTCAGCCCCTGCAACATCAAATTTGCTAAGGAAACAACACAGACTTCTGCTGAACTTTGCTAGCAACCACACAGAGCAAGATGAAGTCACAGTAGAAATTTAGTTCACTAAAGGAAAAAAAAAAAACAAACAACTCCTGAGAAAACTTTGAGACACACAATACAAACCCCATTAAAATGCTCATTTACCTTGCTAAGAGCACACAGTCCACATTTTTGATCTTTCCCAAAATCAAAGCATCTGATGGCTGCAAAACAAGCAAGTAAGAATGAGTTACAGCCTGACAATCATATTAGAAACCTTTGCTACTACCCAAAAACAAGCACAATAGTTACGAAAGGAAATACTGGCTACCACTGTCGCTCTCACATTTTCTTGAGCTCAGCTCTGTAATTTGATATGGCAGATTAGTAAAACAGTCTGGTACAGGAAGATCAAAATTCAGATCAAAAGGATTATCACTGTTTTCCTGTGTTCATACTAACATTAACATTGCAACCCTTTACTTTAGGGTTTGAAACCATAATACTTTCAAACACATCAAAAGAGCATTTCAAACAGTGCTTCAAACATAAAAAAGCAGCATGTACACGTTCCTGTTAGATTGATTAGCATGCCTCACTCTTTCCTGTAAACTATAATTGCCTTTTTGCTAAACAAGTGCCATTCTCTACCTAAGTCCCCTCCCAACGTAAATCACATTTAATCTGTCCCTTTCCATAACACTTTCCGTTCTCTTCTCAGTCTTTCTACTATGGGCCCCTAGCTCTAAATAGGGGCATGCATAGTTCTGGATTCCTCCAACTCACCCCCAGCTTCCTGAAAAAAATCACTCTTCCCTGCTGCTGGAAGCCCTGCTTTTGGGAAGTGAACTGTGATATGACAGAGAAATTCTGGTACCTCAGCCCCGGGACCTCTCTCACAGCTACACGACAGGAAAATGATTCTTCCCAAATACCAACCAGCCAGGATGACAGAGCATTTTCATTTTAGCTGTCCAGCTGGGACATGTACCCGGACTTAGAGATGGGACACAGTGCCCACACAGGGCAGCTGCTGAGTCATCAACCACCATTACAATAAATTAACTGCGCTCGGGGCTGTATTCTCCTCCTGGGCATCAGAGATCTGAAATACAAAATACTTCTAGCTTCCCTTTATTGTTAAACAGCTACGAACAAAATTATGCTTTAGTTACCGATCACAAGTTTCCAAGTGTCTTGAAGGACTCACACATTTACATCTAAAAATGTTCTGTTGCTGGCTACTAGATAAAATGCAAATAAAATTATAATGCTAGCTGCAAGATTTCAATCAGACCTTAGTTTTACAATTCTCTTACACACTCGAAAATTTGCAGAGTTCTAGAATAAAGTGATATGTGAGTCCCATGTAGCTGCATTTTGAAGATACCAATTTCTAATAAAATCATCACCTTCTACTTCCTATTGCACAGACCTTTTTGGTAAATATTCACATGAAAGTTCTCAAAGCACCATCAACGTTGAATTTCTGTCAGGCACATATTTACTACTTTTTTTTTTTAAAGGGAATGTTCCAGAGCATTTACTTTTAGAACTGTAGTGTATTTTCACTTCCTTTTACAAGTTTCCATTTAATATTAAACTATTGACATTTAAATGTTTGATCTTTACTTCACCTTACATATACTCTTCTGAAGCAAATATGGCTTTAAGAGTGAAATTTCACACAGGGCAAAAGCCTTGCTGTTTAGTTGCTAGCTGTGACGTTAAACATTCCATAACAAGGAAGGTTCACAATAATTAGCATTTGGGCTTTTGTTTTGTTTACACACATTTGCTGCATGAAGTAATAAGCACTTAGCTCACAATAGGATACAAAAGTACTCCTATAAACTAAAGAGGACTTCCATCCAGAACTTCCTTGACTTCTATCAAAATCAAAATTAAAGATTAGTAAGTTGCAGACTGGACCCTCTGCTTTAGAAGTGACAGATTCAAATTAACTGCACGTGGTAAAGTTAAGTTTATATCCAAGGAAAATAAAAATCAAGGAATGCTTGAGATGAAAAGTATCCAGCCTTCATTTAATCTGTGAGCTAGTTTACAAACCAAACAATGTACATTGTTTTGGGGAGGCAGAAGAGGTGCCTAAGTGTTACATTACATGGTCTGATTTTTCCTCATGCAAGACCACAAAGCTCAATTGCAAGGCCAAATTCCCTCCTGCTTAGTTTGCCAGAGACACCTATGACTAGAGAAAAGGGGGAACCCCTAGAATAATTATCTAGAACAGGAAGATATTTTGCCCATCTGGGTAACGGTGATTCAGAACCAAGATCTGTCATCCAGAAAGTAAAACAATCTAACTGAAAGTATATTCTGAACAAAGCTTTGTAGTAGCTTCAAAATTCAGTGATAAAATTGCTCAGAACAGCATGTATTATGCTGTAGGAGAACAATATCTGCCATATGTGGAAGTAGAATCCCCAGCGGTTTCAGGGTGTTTTCCATAGAACACCAAATTTTTGATGCACTGAAAGTGGACAAAGGAGAAAGACAGATGGAATATTAAGAACTGTAAGCTTATTTATTTTTTTTATACTTATGCATTTTCATTATCGTTAATGTAACTTGAAAGATCATAAAAGGACCAACATCAACACAGTGAACTGCAAAAACTGCCATACTAGTTTCCTTTAACCTTTGCCATATTTCATTTGAAAAAAATATCCCCACGTTCCCTAATGTTGAATTTTTGTTATCAGATGATTCTTTTGATTTGAGAAGGCCAAGCAGAAGACAATTCCAGGACTCCAAATGGACAAAACGTAAGCTATTATTCATCTTCTAAAAGAAAAGAAACAGCAATAAAGACAGACCTATTTTGCTGCTGTCAAGTGTTAAAGGTGCCAAGGAACATCACCATCACAAAAGTTTTCAGCCAAAAATCTCTTGGCTATGTTCTTGCCAAGAAATTTACAAATTAAACCCCAAATATTATATGAAGTAGAATTGTACCATTTGTGTTTTTACATGATAAAAGGAAATATACATTTTTTTAACTATGCCTTGCATTTTCCTTTTAACATCCATTCACTCTCATTCTTCCTCCTTTTGCTTGAACTAAATAGTTTGATATTGCATCTCCATTTCTCTCAGGAAATAAAAGACCAAAAAGTTCTGAAGTTTATTTAGATTAAGCCCTTTACCTCTTAATATTTCAGGCAGATTCTCTCCCCACTAATGTCACAGTTCTATGACAAAGAATCTTTATGACAGAAAAATCCCCCTTTTGGTTTTCTTTCAAGAAACAATCAAGAACAAGATACACCTTCAGAAAAAATGCTAACAAACCACAAACATCTAAACTTTTCAAGCCACACTTAAAAAGAACCTAAAACTGCCCTCTTGCATTCAGCAACAGTTGCTCCTCTCAACTCTGTACTTCTAAAATGAGAGGCAGGTTGTGTACACCTCCTTCCTGAATGCCAAAAAGTCTCAACAGCAAAATTTTGATCCACCTAATGGATCAAATTAGGTGAATTTTGATCCACCTAATGATACCAGTTGAATTTGTGAGGTTTGTTTCTGCTTCAGTCGAAGTCCATCAGCTTTACCCAGTCAATGCACTTTATGCAACTTAACTCCTCCACTAAGCTCTGCACATCTTACACTAAGGCTGACCCATCAGTTGCTCCATGAGGATGCAAACTGCACTGAACCACTAAGGTTGATGTGACCTTACACAGGAGGAAATCTACATGAAACAAGCATCAGGTCAATGCCTGATTTCTTAGGAGTTCAGATGTAAGAGAAGGAAGACAGGCCATCAGGGTTAAGGATAAAAGTTTGCTGTTTGGCTGTGCTCTCTTTCATAGTCCATCCAGGTCAGCTTAAACAGTCCCACACTATCTGGAATCCCTATCCCACACTCACCACACTATTTGGAATTCATGCCTGGATTTTTACTGTGACATCTCAGTTATACCCTGACACCCCTTACACAGAGAAAAAATTTTTAATGAGCTTTTAAGTTGAGCCTATGCTAAGTGCATAATACACAGGCTCAGACACAGCCAGTCTACTACTGATCAAGGTTTCTCACAAACCACAACAGGTACCAAGATTTATTTTCTCGTATTCATGTTGTGTTCTGTGAAGAACATATTAAAAAATACAGTAGCTAATCTGCTTACTAAATGGAATTTAAAAAGCCTTCCATATAGACTGAAGATACAGGAATGAGGAAGCTTTTTCCACTCTCCTGTGCAGGACCCATCCTGCAAGTACTCCCACTTCTCTCAGTAATAGTAAACCCTGCTGCAAGCCAGCTATTGCACTGCAGAATTTGTGTCACCCAAATCCTGCTGCACCTCAGTGCTGTGACAGAAAGACCTTCAGATGCTGTGCTGACACTGTGCCCTTAAATCTGATCTGAACAGAACCCTCTGAGGGAGAACTGTTTCATCCTTCCTAGATAGTAAGGCTTCAGTCAATACCTGTTACAAGCATAGTGTTACTTTTGCTTTGTCAGCAGTCTCTAAACTCATCCATGCTGTGAGCATTCATGACTCTCAAAAACTAGGGAAAGCATGGCAACTGCTTTGGTTTAGCCAGTGGATTCTCCTTTAGAACAACATTGGCTACATTTTGAAAGCAGAGTATAGAAAATGGAGAAGGCCAGTTCCCTTCTTTCTAATACAGATTGTTAAGTCATTTTGAAAGATGTTAGAAAAGTCAAATGTATTTTTCTGATTATGTTTTCCCCTCCCTTAATCTCCTTCCCCCTCCTGAATGCTGTGCACACAAACTCATCTTGCTCTTTACATTCATACTTCCACCTTAAACCAATTTTGACTGGAGGCACAGAGTTAGATGCTCAATCACACATCATACCACTGAGCTTTCTGGCAAGCTTCTACTCATAAAAAAGCATTTGTTACCACATATCAGATGTTTTATTGTTATGTATACTAGCTTACACTGCTAGACTTCATAAGATATAATTCCAATGGCAATCATAAAGCACCGAGACTCCCCATGTCTTATGACATTACAGAATATCTAAGATCCAATTCTTCCATGAACTTCCTGTGTCAATTAGAACCTCTCTCACCCTTGCTTTTCCTCAGCCTTTGTCTTCCCTGTTTCTCGTATAAATGCTTTGTGGCAGGACTTATCCTTCACAACACCCCAAATGCTGTGTACAGAGCAACAGCCTCAGCCTCCACTTCCTTTTACTGAGAGAAAGGACCAAACCAATGCGAAGGAGAATTGTTCAAGAACACCTGTGTCACAAAAACAGTCCCAGAGCTTCATTTTCAAATTATGTGGTTATAAGCACAACCTTACATTGGCATGTAAGCATAACTCAGTAGTTAGAGGGGAAATGGTGGCCCACATACTTCAAATGACAGTTTTCTGCAGCTTGGAAAGGTTTCTGGATGGATCTGACAGATAATACGTAACAGCACAAATTTGAAAGAGAGGGTTTATCTCTTGATTGCAAATTCAGGACTGAGTTTGTAAATTCATCCAATCTGCAAATGAGAAGAGATGTAGCCTCCCTTGCACATCGTCTGCACAATACTTCATTTCTACAAACTAAGAACTACACAATACATAGTAAATAAATAGAATAGTACTGTGCCAGGACCTCCCTTACACATTCATTTAACAGTTTAAAAATTCTTAAAGCACACGTACACATCTTGAAGAATGTCAGAAAGTTTCATTAATAAATAAAAAGGTTATACAGACCTTGCCATAAGGAGTGTCAACATATTTTTCTGTTCTTCCTTCTAAGATATCTGGATCATCCAGGCCAGTTCCACCAATAATTCCAATCTTAGACAGAAAGTACATATTAATCTTTTTGCAATTTACATTTAACGGTATGCCTGAAAAACTAACCAGGCATCTACAAAATGTATTTTTTGCTCAAGATGGGGCTAGACTACAGAATAACAAAACATAATATGCCCAACACGTTTCCCAGAATGGAAATTTCAAATAACTAGTTTCAAACAATTGTATTTAACTTGCTAATGCCTTACCCAATGATTTCCTCTTTGAAATACCAAATTAAAAAAAAAGAAGCTATGGAAAAAGTGCACAAAGATGTGCCAACTCAAAATTTATTTCCAATATAAAAATGAAGAGTGTTATTTATGAATGCCTCTAATGAGTGTGAAATGCATGTAGAAAGCATATTACAACAAAGGCTTCTTGTTTACATGGAGAAAAACAGTCTTACACGTAACCACCATACCAAACAGCAGGCTGTCGTGGTTTAAGCCCAGTTGGAAATTAAGCAGCCGCTCACTCAAGCTCCTCCTCTCTCCCCCCTTATCCCAGTGGAATGGGGAGGAGAACCAAAATAAAACTTTTATGTTGAGATAAGAACAGTTTAATAATTGAAAATAAAGCAAAATGCAGTAACAATGGTAAATTATAATAACAATGATAACAAAAAGGGAAAAAGCAAGTAATGCACAGTACAACTGCTCACCACCCTGATGCCAGACCCCACTTCCCGAGCCCAGATCGGATCCCCTCCCAGGTAACTCCCTCAGTTTATATACTGAGCATGATGTTCTGTGGTATGGAATACCCCTTTGGTCAGTTTGGACCACTTGTCCTGCCTATGTTCTCTCCCAGTTTCTTTTGTGTACCTCCTCACTGGCAGAGCATGGGACAATAAAAAAAAATATTCCTTGGCTCAGGATAAACACAACTCAGTAAAAAACTAAAACATCAGTGTGTTATCAACACCATTCTCACTCCAAATCCAAAACACAGCACTGTACCACATATTGAGAGGAAATTAACTCTACCCCAGGACATAGGCATTACTATACAGCACTGTACATCCAAAATAACGAAAACTTTTTCAAAAAAAATTTGACTTGACAAAATCTAAGAAGTTCCCGCAACTAAAATCCCCATTGTGTCTTGATATGATTTATAGTGAAAAAGCATGAAGTGACTCACAATTACCACCTATCTGTCATCCTTTGGTAATCACCAATTTCTTGTTCTCACTCATCTGTTCTAGTTCTTTGTAAAAAAAAGAGAAAGAAAAAAAAGGCTAATTTGAAACATATATTCTTACTGAGACTAAATTTGCCTGTGATTTCACATTCCAGCTAAAGAAAGATGCATCTGAATTTTCTTGTTTCCAGTTCATAATTGGAAAGTAATTTGTTTTTGTCACTCTACGGACAATTCAATTTTGAAGCAAGTCAGATTTTCTCTTGAGTTCAGAACACTTGTAGTTCTTTGGATGGAACGGGTACTGTCAAACTTTTCACAACTGAAAGCTTAGTAATGGTATTAAAAGATGATGTCACTATCAGTACAGAGAAAATGCTCTTTTTTTTCCTTCAATTTGTTGTTGCATAGTTTGTATCACTTTCATATTGAAGAATTCATAACTGATTTGCTTATCATGGTAAAAAAAATTTGAACCATTCTGACACAACTTCTTACCACAAAGACTGAAGATTTCCCAAATAAAACCTCCAAATTTCAACATACAACACCCCCGGTTCCACAACACACACAGAACTGCCTCTTTCTATAGCCTTTTCTTACTTTCACATTCATGGACACCCCATTTGTTCCACCACTGTATTAGTTGGGTATCATGCATTTCTTTTCAACAAGCAGACGCTTTGTGGTCTTCAATACACACCCAATACCAGATGGTGTAAAGTATTCCTGAAACAATGAGGTAGTTTTAACCGATCTTCTGCTTCCTTTTGCTACCCCCCTGTGGAGCTCGGGGAACAGTGCAATGGAAAATAGCAGTTAAAACCTACGACTCCAACCCTGAACACACACAAGTATTAGGGAAGACCTAGATCACTGTCTGCAGTAGTACTGATGGTCTGTTCCCGTGTTACTTAGTTATCATGAACATTTAGACTGCTAGATTTCTCACGAAAATCCTGAAAACTATACACACTTTAGGATGAATAAAATACAGCCTTAAGAATTCTGGAAGGTGTGCAACAGGAGCAATCATACAACGCCAAGACAACAAAAGACCATCTTTAACCTTGTTCTTGCATGCATTCGGTTAACAGTGAAGACTGCCACATTGACAGAAGACAGTACCAAAATGGTGCTTGTTTTTTTTTTGTTTGGTTTTTGTGTTTGTTTAGAGATTTTTAAATCTAGGGAAAAAATGGTTCCTTCAGTAACCAAACTAGTTTTAGCTTCCTATAATACTTGTTATGACTTAAGATCAGGAATATTCAAAAGGGAATGCTTACCTTCCCAAGCTTTTACATGTGGCAAAGTTGTTGAGACGGACGAAAACAGTGCAATGCTGGAGATACCAGTTACAGATACATCATATAAAAGTTATTTTGGAACTGGAATGCTTTAAGGTCATTATGAAAGCACAGATCCATCACTATGGATCCCACCTGACCTGGGGCAGCATGGGGAGAACACAGAGCACAGAAGAAGCGCTGGACTATGTTGATTTTGCTTCAGCCTTCTTCCCCACTGCAAAACACCTCAGTGGCAGTCTGGTCAACCCTCAGGCCACCAAAGCAACATTGGCTAGAGAAATGCTGGGCTGACTTATAATTTGCTGGAGAGCTATTCCAGTGGAAGCAAAGCTAGGCCAGCAGAGATTTTTGGAAGCAGCTGCTTTTCAACCATGTAATGTCAGCTTGGAGCTGGCAGCTCTAACCCTAAATTTAAATTCATCTCTCTGACAATTATTTTTCCTCCAGTATATATAATCTCCAGAAATAGTATCTGCATCTGGGAGCTAGGCAATCTGATTCTATATTAAATTCTGTTTTCAAACCTTCTAGTGAATTACCAAAAGGAATGCAGATGCTTTAGGCTCAGTGGGGGAGATACCCTGTGTCCTGGTTCAGGATAGGACAGGATTAAGTTTTGTAGCAGCAAGGAGGAGGCATAGCCAGGATAGGGAGGTTATTCTATACCACCTCACATCATTTTCTGGGAATGGGGGAAGGGGACCCTTCCGGGTCAGGGCAGCATGAATGCAGTTGGGCTCCCCGTGGTGTAGTGGTGAGCATTTGCATATGAACTCTCGCCTCCTTGGTACACTTTCTTTACTAATATTGTTGCTGTTATTGTTTTCTTACTGCTGTTTCCAGCAAATTGTTCTTATCTCAACCCATGATCTTTACCTTTTGTGCCTCCAATTATCCTCTCCATCCTACAAGAGAGGTGAGTGAGCCAGCAGCATGGTTTGGCGTGGTTTCAGTGGAAACACTAAATAGAAGAATAGCATTCCTAAACCACGACACCCTGTCAAGGGAACTGAGGTCTATTCCCATCTAGGAGCCCAGACACAGAAGGTATGGAATGGCAGAGAGAACCTGACCCAGGGAGAACAGTATCACCTTTCCTTAAAAGCCAGACAGTCATATCTAGGAGTGACCTCAAGAATGGAAAGATTGAATGCTCCATTCCAGACATTGATTGCATCCTACAAAGGGACACAAAAGACATAATTTGTAAAAATTAATGGAGGCTATATATAAGGATATCTGAAATTAAATCTAAAGTAAAATGGCATTGCAGTAGAGTGAAACATGAATTATTTTAATATGGTCCATCTCAAACACTGGGATAAAGAGCAGCAAAAGTGAAACCTAACAAAAAGTTATCACACTAATAACTACAAAATCAGAACCTCCCACTCTGTGGGAGTCCAAGCAACAATCACACTGAAGTATACACCTTTCTTCACCTGGTGTTGAGTGAAATTCCCCAAGTAGGTTTAAGCACAAGCATAGAAGTATCAGTGCAGTAACAGCCTACACTTGTCCCCCTGAGGGTCCTAAACATTGTCATTATCGCGCACGAGTCTCTGCGACAACTAACAACCAACGAATCCTTCTGTATTCCTCTCTTCTGTTTTGGGGATACGGAGAAGAGGGAGAGGATGGCACTACAAAGACTTTTGCTTAAAGCAGAACATCAAACCACATTAAGAGAAAAAAACCCTGTAAACTGAAGACAGCTTATAACCGTTCTCTACGCACCAAAGCAACTGAGTGAGTTATTTCACCTCAGACAACGAATTCGTAGTTTATTAAAACGCATGCCCGGGGTTTCAGCCTGCCCAAAGGCCTGCTCAGCCGCGGTACCACCCCGTCCTGAGCCGCTTTTCAAGCGCAGGGGAAGGACAGGTCTCAGCGGGGAACTCCAGCACCGCTCGCTCCCGCCGCAGCTCTGGGCTCCGTGCACATTCACACACACAAGGGGCACAGCTACAAACTTGCCACGGTCCCTCGCACTGACAAACCCGACACACCGCGGCCGGGTCGGACACCCGGAAATTTCAACAGAGAGGCCTGCGGATTTCATTAAAAACTTTTTTTTTTTATTTTTTTATTTTTTTAAAAGATCGTCTCTCCGGGGACGGCCGGCCCGCGGGAGCCCCCGAGCGGCCCCGGCCGCGGGAGCGCTCCGCCGGGCACCGCCCGGCACCGCGACCCCTCTCCCGCCCCGCACCGCCCCGCACCGCCCCGCACCGCCCCGCACCGCCCGGCTGCCGGGCCCGCTCCCGGCGGGAAGGGCGGCGGGGAGCGGGGAAGGGAGGGACGCAGGCAGCGCTTCTGGCCACGCGCTCGGCAGCGCCGGGAGGGCGGCGGCGGCGGGGCCCGCTCCCTCCCGCTCCCGGTGTAGGCGGGCGGAGGCGACAGGCGGGGGGGGGACCGCGGGCTGCCCCGCAGCAGGACGGAGGCGCGCTTACCTTGACGGGCCCCGGGGCGGCTGCGGCGCTGGCGGCGGCCATGGTGGCGGCCATGGTGGCGGGAGGGCGGGGCACGGCCCGGGGGTGTGTGGGGAGGGGGTGGCCGCGCTTCCCGCCGCTGGGGGGCAGCACCCGCCCGCGCTGAGGGCAGAGTGCCCGCCGCGCCCCCACAGCGCTCCCGCCCCGGCAGCGCTGTCCTTGTCCGGTCAGCGAGGATGCAGGTTGGAACACCTCTTGAGTTCACACTCTGAACACACGTCCTCTTAATCGCTCTCTTCTTAATCCTTCTGACCCGCGCGTTTGCCCGTGACTCCCTGGGAGCCTCCGCTGCTTGGGACCGGAGCGGTGCTGCGGTTGGTGTGATTGCAGTAGTTCACCTACTTAAAGGTGCAAGTGCGTTCTCAAGATGTTAAGCGTTGGCTCGGTCTCTCTGGAAACTTAACTTTCAGAGGGGCCATATTTCGGTCAGACTTCCGTCCCATATAGCTGGAGACACAGCCGTTTACTTGACTCCCTCCCCCCCGCTTCCTTAAATTCATCAATTTGTCAACAGAGGTGGAATTGAGGGTGATCTTTTCAACACCCAAAAATGACTCTGAGAACAAACTGAAGCATGTTTGGGAGGGAAGGGGAAATACTTTCTGAAGTACACGTGTATAAAAACTATGTAAGTTTAGGTCTCCAAGCTAAATAGAGCTTCAAGTGATAAAAGAAGGTAAAAACTATTTTATTACTATTACAGTTTTCCTACCTGCGGTATTTTTCTTCATTTAAGCAGAACATTTGTTTTGCCACAACATGATCCTACGTTTTGAGAAACATCGATATGTTTATGTATTTTACTTCCATAGGTAGATATAAATATCAGATGTAGAGCTTTCAAAAATAGCTGTTACCTTTGTTGACTGGAAGTACGTGAAAGTGTTTCACATGTTTTCTTTAAAGCAGTATTATCTATTGGAGACACCTCGGCCACCCAGACATACCATTCTCACATGTCCTCAGTGCTACCTGCCTGTTAAAAAAATGTCACATATCTACTAGTAAATGAAGACTTGAACTCATCACTGAACATATGTCCTAGCTTTTAACTGCTAAGGTCTTGAGGCAGTTCTTTGTATACCAAGAGGAAACAAATATTCCTGATAATTTGAGGCAGTAGCAGCTAATGCTGAACCTGTGCTTCGGCTGGAATGTTCCATCTGTGCAGCTTTAAATACTTTATCCTGTCATCTTCAGTGTATGTTAGAGATCTTAATGCACTGCTGGGATGTCTGTTACCAGGCCTGAAGCCTTCTTACTGCAGTTCAAAGTGTAGACTGTACTGATGAGAAATATACTTCTGGAAAATAGTAGTTTAATAAAGGGAGAAAGAAGGATGTGGGTAAAGTTACACGTTAACTTCTTCAGTGTGAAGTTACAGTTTGTCAGGTGAGTTAACTTCTTCATTGTGTAGCCATAATTCCACACTAAGTCTGAAACTTACCATATTTTTCTCATTGTATTGAAGTTATACGTTCTACTCTTAGTGTACAGAATCTCTTAGTGAATAATTCCTGACAATTCCTTTTGTTTAATTCTACTACAATGTTCATCCACTGAATTGACTACAAGAAACTGTGTCAGTTGTGTTGCAGTACTCCTTTCTTACTGCAACTATGTGCAATCTATCTACTTTTTGAGTATGAGAGCTCACTTTGCTTAAATAGTGTGGAAGTATTCACTGTTTAAACTCTCAGAGACAATTAATTATTACTTTTATTTAAAACATGCTGGCTGTTTCTACACAGGCTGTTCATTGGAGCTTGATACTGTAGCTGACCAGAGAGGAATCAGCTTTCCAACTTCATGCCTGTGTATTCTCTGTTACTGTGTGTGTTTTGTAGGAGTATTTCTCTGCATAAAGCTCTCCATGTATCCACGTTAAATCTGAGCAGCAAGCAGAAAAGCCTACTCATGTTGAATTGTTAATGACAGAGATGGTTTGAGAAAGGTTGAGATGGAAGCTCAAAAGAAGCTTCATTAGATGGAGTTTCTGAAAATGGCTGGTCTGAGCCGCTGTTTTGGTGCAGTCCAGGCAATGGATGAATAGACTCAGAATCAGAAAAGGGGCTGAAAAACTGCAGTTCTGCAGACAAACTAAGTATATTTTCACATTTACTGTCATATGAATTTCAATTTAGCAGTACACTAGAAGGAAAACCTGTATCAGTATGAAATTTGGCACTTCTTCAAGTGTTCATCAGCAGTTAGTGAGTTCCCATTACTTATACACCTTATAGCTTGGATTAAGGCATATGTTTATTTAAGCCTTCTGAATGATTTAACTAATCAATAACAGGTAAGAAAAGGTGCTCTATGAAATTACATTTTAAAATGTTTTAATTTCTATAGACCGTAGACTTTTTTGTATCTCTGTTTTGAAAATCTTAAAATTAAAATCCTGTGATAGGATTGAGAGGTGGAATCGAGTACAGCGACTGTTCATCAGTAAAATGTAATCTAGAATTTTTAACACAGCATTTATCATTGTGAGAAGTCAGTTTTCTGCAGCAGCCATTTGAATTCAGAAGCAGGTAATGGAACATTACCCCAACAATACCACAATGCTCAGGAAAACATGATGAACATACTCTCTTAAAAAGACAAAGGTTAGAGGGTTACTAGAGAAGATTCAGTTTCAGTTCGCAGTTCCATTCATGACTTTACAGAAAACCTTGAAATAAAGTGATAGCTTTGTATTTTCCTAGAGGTTGAACTTTGTGCTTCATGTTCTAAATGATGGAATCCATTTATCTGATTAAAATCCATTTATCTGATTAAAAAATAGTAGTTTACTGATGTTTCACCTTTTTATTTCATGCAATAAAATAAATGCACAATTACTTGGAATCTCTTTGCTTTGATTTCTTAGTATTTCAGTTGTCTGTGTCTCGTGAACAGTATTTTCTTATCTTAAGTTAAAATAATGTGTAAAAACTAAGTATCATTTAGACTTTACACTATTCATAAAATACAAAAGAACCCTTAGATGAAAATAAGTAGTTTATATATCAGATGGAGGCCTTTCAAACTTAAACATGAGGTCATTTTCTATGTCATTTTTTGGTGAAAATGTTGGTGAAAATCCACATGTTGCCAGTGCCTGAAAATCCTGTCCTTAGAAGTCTGGGAAGACCTGACAATTTAAGTTTCCTGCAACTATGTTAATAGTTTTGGTCATATGCCTCTCAGAGCTTAGAAATCTTGGTCAAATAAACTGAAACATTCTTATTAGTGTAAGAAGCACTTTAATTACGCAAATAGTGTGATATTTAGTTAAATATAGAAAACAGGCTATTTATAAGAAGATAATTCTTTACAGTGCAAACCAAAATTGAGAGAAGATCTAACGTGGGCAGACAATTAGGACTTAGTGACCATTGAGCTTTAAAACCTCTTCTGACATCAAATACTTTTACATATTTAAATATTTAAACTCTGTCCCTCCTATAAAGTTATAATCATAGTGATAACCAACTTTAACTGAATTAAAGGGGTGTTTAGGTTAGCTAGAATGTATTTGTGAAAATGCTTTGAAGATGAAAAGAACTGTTTCAAGGTAAAAGGTCCTACTTTTTTTTTTTTTCTTTATTAGAACAGAAGTTACTACAAAGAAATACCAGTGCTGTGTACACTGTAGCTGAGCTTTGAATTGCTTTTGCCAATGTTACTTCAAGAAACAATATTTGCATGAAAGAAGGAAAAATAAAGCCTCAGTCAAGTCCACTTTATCTTCTACATTCATTCATGCCAATCTCAGTGTCAAGCTCCCATTATGCTGTACTGCTTGTAAACTTTTCTGTTTCTGCCCTACAAATTCACAGAATTTCTTTCAGTAGTGTTGTGTGATTACAAACATGTTAAAAGAAGAGCATCTTCTGTGTCCTTCTTTATCAGCCAAGACTTGACCCACATTTACTTCCAAAAAGATGCTCTTATTAACCATATGTCCTTACTGTGAAAAACAGCTTTCTGTTGCATATTCAATGTTAATTTCATCTCTTCTCCTGCATACTGGAAACAATTTGTTGGGCCCTGTCCCCAGAGTAATGATTTAAGATTTCAATTGACTTCAGAGGAAAATAAGTATCTGTTTCATGTCAGGACAAACAATTTTAAAGCATAAATAAGCTTCAAGGCTACTTTATGTAAGCACCCAAGGGCCACGTTCAGGAATAATTAAAAAACTAACTTTCCAAATTTTTATTATGATCCACTAACTAAAGTTTATCATTTCTATAGGTCTTTCATGGAGCAGAGAGGTCTGTGAGCCCTCAAAAGCGTGTCAGCAAAAGGCTGATGGGAGAAATTCAAAAAACCTTTGTAACAGCTGAAGTGAAGACATCTGTCTTTACGCTGACTCTTCCGTGGGATTGTAATATTTTACATTGGTTCATTCCTTTGCAAAATGAATAGGTTTTTTCCCCCAATTTGAAACAAGTGGGATTATCTTGAAGGGACCATTTTAGAAAAATGAGCATCAGAAAATTCCTTCCCTAGCATGTTTTTTTTCCTTCAGGGAGGGACCATCAAGAAGATGACAATATCAGCTTCAAAACTGTTACCTTGAGCACATAGTAACCTTAATGCAGTGAAGATTGCACAGTCCGCAGACAGAACAGCTCCACCAATTTCAAATGAAAGAAGGAGAATTTTTAAGCTTACAGATAATTTACTGATACAATAATTTGGAAAGTTTCCATACAAAGAAGCAAGCACCATGAGATCGGGTGTATAAAATCTGCAAGGTGAGGCAGTGAGGTCGAGGAACTTGACATTTGACATTACTGACATTAGTTCATAAAATAAAATCCATGCTTAAATTAGACAATTGTACTTTTCTTCCCAATTATAATACAGAGACTCAAAGTCCCCATTATCTTCAGTGATGCCACAGAGAAAAGGGAACATCAGATCATGTAGGAAATGGTTACAGAATATGAACATTATTTTAATTAATAGCTGTATTGGTCTGCTAGTGTTAGGACATGTGGGCTTCTCCCTAATATTGCCCCCAAATCAGTT